GTCTTCCCGTTTGAGTACTTTTCAATTTAGACCCAGTGCTGTGGAAGGGCGCGGACTTGTGCGGTGTTACCCCCTCGACGGGGGCTATCTCCCCTGGACTAGCCCAGGGAGGGAGAGGCGGAGGAGGGTAGTAGTCTCAGGAGGCTGTTTGGCGTCTTGTGGTGTGAGCTCTTTGCGCTCTTTTTTGCGTGAGGATTTTTGAGCTTGGTGACCTCCCCAGCCCGGGAAGACTCGTCGGGCTCCCGGTCGCCCAAGTCCTGGTAGCGAGCTCTCTGAGATGCTCGGTTCGTTCGGTCGGCAGGAAGAGCCCCCCAGTTGCGACTTCGTTTATGTTAGGAGACCAACGGGCATAGATCCCGTCTAGTTGGAGCGCCAAACAAGCGCTGTTGCGTGCCGGCCGTCGTTTCCCGTGCGGCCTGACCCGGGGGCGGAGTGCATGAGACTAACCAGCCGTATGCACCCGCCCCCCGCGCTGTGCTTCGGCCCTGGGCCCCCGGCTTTTCAGCCCACAGTGTAATCAACGTCATATACACAGACAGACAACATTGCCGTACCGCCTGCTGTCGTCTCCATGCGCCTTTCCTCGTACTCCTTGGGAAACAACCGACGGATGATGTTGGCCAGGGTGATGGTGATGGGTAGCGAGTCGCGCGATACGTGCAGGACCTGGCGAACACGAGGTGCTTGTGTATGTATGTATGTATGTATGTATGTATGTATGTATGTATGTATGTATGTATGTATGTATGTATGTATGTATGTATGTATGTATGTATGTATGTATGTATGTATGTATGTGTGTATGTATGTATGTATGTATGTATGTATGTATGTATGTATGTATGTATGTATGTATGTATGTATGTATGTATGTATGTATGTATGTATGTATGTATGTATGTGTGTATGTGTGTGTATGTATGTATGTATGTATGTATGTATGTGTGTATGTGTGGGAGGTTGAGGCATGTGAGAAAAAAGACCGACCATTGGTCGTACAATACTCGACACAGCACGGACGTTTTCATATGTCTAAAGCTCCGAGAACATCCCCGGCCCCCCAGGAGGGCTCATCACATCCAGAGCTACCAGCTGGTCCAAACATACATCCCCCCCCCCTAGACAAACCGCCAGACAAACCCACACCATCACAGCAGTAGAAATCAGTAGCTGCCCGTTCTTCCTGCTGCAGAACAATCGCAACAGGACCCCCGTTCGAAACCCGCGTGGGACGTAGGGTGCTCCTGAGGGAAAGGTCCATCCATGCGGCCAGGGGCCCCCCCATGCGCTTACATACAGACACACACACACGTGCGCGCGTTCTAAGCCCCCTCCTCTTGTGTGCCTTACCGTACGACAGTACGGGCAGCGCGGCCGATGGTCGATGGCGCGTGCAAAACACTCCCGGCAGAACGTGTGACCGCACGGCGTCGTTACCGGCTCGTACAGCAACCCCGCGCACAGCGAACAGTCCCAGTCGTCCACCTCGCTGCGAAGTGCCGCCGTGCCGCCGGCGCCGCCGCCGGCCCCCAGAGGCCGCTGCCGCTTGGAGCCGCTGGGGGGAGTGGAGCCGGCGGCAGCTTCGCCGCGGCCGGCAGCGGCAGTGGCAGGGGCTTCGCCGTCTCCGCTTTCCGTTCCTTCGTCCGCTTGGAGGACAGCTTGCACTTCCCGCATACCCTCCTGCGGTGCGGTGGGTGTGCCGACGGGTGGTGGTGGTGGTGGGTTGGGTGGTGGTGGTGGTGGTGGGTGTGCCGACGGGTGGTGGTAGTGGGGGGTTGGGGGGTGGGTGGGTGGGTGGTGGTGGTGGTGGTGGTGGTGATGGTGGGAACCCAAGGAAGAATCGGATACAGAAGGCATGGCGCACATTCGCTCATGTTGCCTGCAGTGGGGTTAGTAGCCCGTGATGGTGAAGAGGGAGCAGCAGACGCCAGCATGTTCAATCGCTTGAGCCGCATGCGCACACGATACACAATCGTTGCCGTACAAGGTACGACCCCACCTGCGTACCCCCCCCATCATCGCCACCACCGTCACGACCCACCCGACCCAACCTGTTTCCCTGCACCCATGGGTCCGTCTCTGCCGTACCACAATCCTCCGTTTTCCTCGGCTCAGCTCTCAATCCGACCCGACCCGACCCGACCCATGGGTCACACTCACATGGGTCACATTTCCTCTTCCCCCCTTCACGCGCGCACCTGCAGTACTGTGTTAGTGGGTTCCAGAGCCAGGCCGTCCAGAAACGCCTCCCGAGCCTCGTGAAAGCGCTCCAACAGGAACAGCGCCGTGCCCCGCCTGGAGTGCGCCTTGGCCCAGCCCGGCCGTACGGCTGCCGCTCGCTCGGCGTCCTTAAGGGCCATCTGGGCGAGTGAGGTGGGGTCCAGGTCGAACAGCGCCCGGTACTCGCTGCTGCGAGCTGGGCGACTACGGTACATGCGGCTCAAGCTGCGGGGACGTACAAAGGGTTTTGGAAACATGGGGGGAGAGTTCGGGAAAGAAGAAAAGCCAAGAAAAGCAAGCAAGAAGCGGTTGGAGAGGTCCGGTGTACGGTGTACGACATGTACTACGATATGAAATCTGGTGGTGTTTGGTGGTTAAGAGGCCGGGGATGGCGGGAAAAGGGGGCTTGAAGCTGCAACAATCACGGACGGTGGGGAGTCGCCATTCACGGAAGACAAGGATGGATAATAAATGAGGGAGGGAGGGAGGGAGGGAGGGAGGGGGGAAGGGGAAAGGGTGATGGGGGAGTAAAACCCACCTCGCGTATGCCGCGCTGCGGTTGCTCAGCAAGGTGGCCACGTCATCCGCATCGTACGCATAGCGGAGCGCCTCGGTATGCGCGGTTGCAGCCTCGCCGTACTGAATGTTGTCCATCAATGCCGTACAAGTACGGGCGGTACCGTTTGCCATAGGACAATGGGAGAAGGAAGGCACAGGTGCATTATGGGGAAGGGGGAGGGAGCCGGGTGCGCGGAAAGCGCTCGACAACAATTAGCGTTAGACGCGCCCTGGCATGACGATTTGGATAAATATGGATCTTTCCTGATGCGACTTTTCGGTAGATAGGCCTAAATACTGAAGCTTAACCCCGAGCGCCTCACCTTTTGCGCTCTGAACAGCTCGTTGCCGCGCTCCTTTGCCGCGAGCATGGCCTCTCGGTCCTCCGGGTTCTGTTGTCGCTGCATACTGCCGCCAGCTCCAGTCCCTTCTTTCAACTGAGAGCTGACCTGTGAACATGAAAATCAAAACAGCGCAACGAACTGTGTATGGGTTGTGTAAACGCAAGCATACTTCGCCCAATGGGCAAGTCTCGCTCTGTCGCCAAACATCAACCTTCAGTAACATGACAGTAAAAATACAGTAAACGCAGCATTGTCTGCTGCTCTAACTTATTTCAGTTAAAAGCCATATACATACCCTCGCGAAAACCCTCGGTGCAGGGTCTGTCGATTTTGTTGCACTCGATAGCATCGCCAAAGCCTCTTGTGCAGCAAGCGACGTGAAGAGATTGCTGTTACTGCTGGGCTGAGGCCCTTGCTCCTCGCCACGGGCCCCTTCATCCTCATCCATAGCGCAGCTGTATTGTGTGACTACTTGAAAAACGTATGTTGACTTATTACTTTATGCATCTACATGAAATGGAACACCTCACAATTCACTTTGTGTAAATGGCTGGTTATGAAACTGGGAGACGGATTCTACCTTCCTGGCATCCACACCAACCAATGGACATTATGATCCATAGGCCTAAAATGTAACTTAGGCAAACTATGAACCTGACGAAACCATTTATAAACACAGTTCGACGTCTTGCCATCCGATAAGTCGGACAGCAGCTGCAGCATGGGAGGCTTTGCCGAGTACCTTGTCTCCCCCCCACCGTTACTCCTTTCACTGGCCCGGAGCCCTCCATGACCGCCGAGGTACTGGATGCACGCAGAAGGCCAGTATCAACATTACTATCAACAGTATTAATTTTGTCCACAGCCCTTTTTTCAGCAGGTGATTGTTGGGGAAGGCATGGGAAGGTCGGGCCAACTGAACACGGCCATCTCCCCTCATGGACGTGCGGACATTATACTTCATGGTGAAGTTTAGATTGTTATAAATCCTGGAAAAATGCCTTGAGACCGGAAAGGTTCTGCGCCATGATTTTATGCCTTTAGCACGGAATGGTTCTTGAAATACAGTCGGCGATTTTTTGGACCTCGATCGTGTCGAGTGCCAAAGCGCTCCTAGGAACGCCTCCCGCGCACAACACTGAGGGCCTTACTCAATGCTAACTCGGCCAGGCCGTACTAGCATCACTTTGTGCTGGCAGTCCCTCCGGTATCAGGTAGAGCAACAAGTTTTCGTTTACGAGGTTTGGGCAAGGGGACGACGGCAGTTCATTTTTGCACGATCATTAACGGATGTGGACAAGACAGTGCAGTAAGTATGCCTGTGGAGAGGGATGGCGATGTTGAGACAGAGGTTCAGAGGTCAACAGAAAAGGCTATCTCGATAACGACCCATGGGTCCGTCCTGCCGCACTTACTCTGCATGGCTGTATGCTGCATTAATGGTTTCGCACCCTTCCATCGCCCGTCTCTCCATTCCACCTTCAATTGCGGCATAAGCAAGGCTTGTCCAGGCCCAGGGTTCGGAGCTTATTGAGCACATATGACGTCGGACTTCCATTTAAAGTCAAGAGCGGCATAATCTTTCCCTGATTTGTTGTTCATTTCGGACATCATGGATCCAATAAGATTGGCCGTTGATGCCAGAGAACAAAACGATGCCAGAACAGATTGGCTGTTGACGTTAAGAGAGCTTTACGCCCGACTTCCAGGTTTTGCCTAATCTGTCTGAAATGCCTGCCTAATCCGTCTGGGGTAGGTCCGTTTCAATGATGCATAAGTTCTTCGGCGTTGTCAGGATAATTCTTGGGTTGAAGCTGTTGGAGTCCAGTTGGTAGTTTTCCGGTCTGCGGGACTTTAGTGTAGTGAATCTGTAAAGTGATTGGACAAACAAGTTTGGGTCAATTCTATCTGCCCGCTTTCCCGCCATTTCGCGACCGATGGTGATGTCTGATGTGCGATCGTAAAGTCCGGATCGCCACGTAGCATTGTGGACACGTACATATAAAATATTATAACTGGAACTGGCAGCTGACAAAATGTCGTGAGGTGTCCATAACCTGGGCGAGCTCTAGTGCCGTCGAGTGGGCAAAATGTCGAATCCTTGTGCTTTCCCAGAATGAGTTCTAAGCGCTGATGGTTCTCACCTATCTTTCTCGATACTTTCTCTAGCTATTTTGGTGCTCAACAGCCCCGAAGCTGCTAAGGTCTTGGTGCAAGATGACGGCCTCATTCGTCCTAACCTCAACGCTCACGCATCCAATCCTATGCCAAGATCGTAAAATTTCTGAGAAATCTTGATGCTATGATGCTCCTTGATTTCTAATCGATTGTGGGTGCACCTGGGTGCTGCGATATCGTATCATGGACAACAACCCAGCGGTCGCCGCCGCAGTGGCTGCCGCCTGGCCCGGCAGCGAGACTCTTGCTCGCTTCCGACGACGCATTGCCTTGGAGCTTCTAACCATCAAAGATGGACCTACTGGACCGCATAGCGTCCTCGCGGTGGGTCAAGTGCTGTTGTCGTTAGCTCGAGCGCCGGGCGCGATGTCTCAAAATTTGTCATCGCACTGCCGAATCACCATTCTCTTTTGCTACATATTTCTACATATTTGCGTCATTCTTCACAACATTTGCCACCCGCCGTTGTGAGACTTCTTCCTCTTACACTCCCCACCCTTGTGGGTCTGCAGACCAACTTAATGCCCCGCTCTTCCCCGCCCACGGCAATTCTCACGATCAGATCTCCCACCGACTTTCCCCGTCTCTCCCCCTCGTACTTCGCAGCTATCAATCTTTTCTGTTTTCTTGCGTATTCCTGATTACATACACATGTGTCGTAATTCCCCCTTCTCGCCGCTTTCCCTCCCATCCTTCTTGCATGTATCCCACCCGCCCGCCCGTCCTTCCTTCCAGGCTCGCTTGACCAGCTCTCTGCGCGCCAAGTATCCGCGGCTCGCGCACGATGCGGCCGCACTGTGCTGGCCAAGTAACGGATCTTTGAGATGCAAGCAGCTGCTGGCACATGGACCCGAGTTTCAGTCCGAGGAGCCTGGACTGGAAGACCCAACAGGCGGCGCGTTTCTGTACTGCAATCCGTACCATTCCGACACATGTGTCGTACTGGACCTCCCGGCACTTCTTAACTGGCATGCCGGCGGCAGTCCCGTGGGTCCAAGGACGCCGCCAGATAGCGACGGAAGCAGTGGCGGAGGCGGCGGGGGGGCTGACGCCGCCGCCGCCGCCGTTGCCAGGCGAGGTCGCGCTTCCGGCGTGTACGGCAGCAGCGGCGCTGGGGAGGTTCATGACGGCCGCCAGCAGTCGCAGTACAACCACCATCGCGCGTCGTACGATGCAGCGGCGATTAGCGGCGCCATGGCGGCGCTGGGCGACGCGGCGACGGCGGCAGCGGAGTTAGGAGCGGCGGCGGCGGCGCAGCTCGAACCCCGTCTCAGCTTTGAAGACCTGGGTCTGCGAGCGTTTCCGGGTCCCGCCGCCGCCAGTCAGTTACGGCGGTTGTTAGTACAGCGGTTGGGCGGGGCTGGTTCCGGGGCTGCGGACGGACTGCCGCCCTTCACGCTGCCGTGGAGGCACTTGTCGCCCCTGGTCTCTAGCTCCCTGGTTGGTAGGGGAGGGGGGGAGTGAAGAGGGGGCCGCGGGGGAGAGAGGATGGCAAAGGGGGGAAAGTGTAGAAACCCGCTGGTGGGGGTTAGTGGGGGAGGAAAAAGGACCCGGGAGGCGTCTGGGACCGATCCTGGAGATGATGAGGTAGGTGGTGTGTGTGCGGGGGGAAGGGGGGGGAGAGCAGCAGCAGCAGCAGATGCAACTGAAGAAAGACACACGTGTATACAAATACACGGGGTGTGTGTGTGCTGGCAGGGGAGGGCAAGCGCGGAGCACGGTGTGTGTGTGTGTTTTATGATGGGGGTTTCTCCTCAGGCGCTGGCCTGACCAGCGGGAGCATGCTAGGAGACAGACGTCCAGGGGTTACCAGGGGTATGAACATGTTGTCTGCGAAGCGGCTTGTTTAGTTCCACTAGCTTCCACACGCGAATCACACACAGGGTTGTCATCACCACACGATTTCAATCACAATCACAGTCAGCATCCACACCGTTACTTCTTCTTCTTCTCTCCAATCCAATGAGCCCCAATACGACCAACTAAAAACGGGTGGGAGGGGGGAGAGGATGGGACGGGACTTCAGCTATTCAAGGAGGTGGGGGTAAGGAGGTGGAGGTATGAAAGGGCGTTGTTGGCGCGATGCCTAGAAGCTGCGAGTAGGAATAAATCTGTGTGCTGCTGCCTCTAGGTACCAACCCAGCCACCACCCAACTCCCACATACCTCCTGCAAAACCCCCTCCCGCTTTTGCCGGCGGCTCCGGCGACGGGCCCCCACCACCCCTCCTCTGCTGCCCCCTCTTAGGCCGCAGCAGCCCAACCCTCCCTGGCGTCACCCGCGATCTTCCGTACATTCCTCCAACATCCCGCCAGTGCTGGCGTGTTTTCTGCAATTCGCATTACCCGTACAACCAACACAACCAACAGCGGAAACAATACCGGCAGCAGCAATGATGGTACTGGTTTTAATGCAGCAGCTGCCGCAGCCGCCGGTACGACAACCTACGTTGATTGCGTGACGATGAGCCTCCCAGCGCTAAACCGCGCCGCCGCCGCCGGGCTGCAGGGCGCCATCGCGGCCGCGTGGCCTAGTACGGCGCCGGAGCAAAAGCTCAAACGCGCGGCGGCGCTTCTGCTTTCTGCTTCTGGCCCTCCGGACTACACCGTGAATTCTGGTATAGTGGGAGCCCAGCTAAAAGGCCGCGAGGCGGCGGCCTATGCGATGGTGCGCGGCAGCGGCTTGATTGGCGGGATCATGGCGCGTTTGAATGAAGCCCCGTTTGGAGGCTTTCTGCTGTACGACAAGAAGGACAGTATGGTACGACACTCCGTGTTGGATGGCGTGTGTTGTTGTGGTGGGGGAGGAAGGGCTTTGGTTTGGTTGTAAGGGGGCCCGGGGGGGATGAAGCGGGAAGAGGAAGTGCGTGGGTGTTTTGATCTGGGAAGGTGTGGGAATCGGGGGCGGATAGAGGCGTGTGTGGGGATATGACTAACAAGGGGTGGGGGGCGAGCGACGTACATGTGAACGTGTGTCATGGCGTGTGTGTCATGGCGTGTGTTGTACGTGAACGTTACAAGTATCTGACCGGGCCTGACACTGGCCAGGGGCTGCTGCCCAGCCCCAATGGAAAGACCGCCTAAGCATGCTCTCTCCCGCGGACGGGAGAGGGGCGCTAGAGGGGGGCCTCTGCCCCCTCCTAAGCAGCCGAGAGCCGCAGGTCCGCTAGCTTCGCTCTCCTCCCCCCCCCCGGGGGTAGGGGTGGGGGCCGTCGCACGCGCGCACGCTCTCCCGAGTCAAGAGGCTCCGTCACGCGAGTTTGCGTTCACTGAGCCTCTGAAACACGCCACACGACTCCCCTCCCTCCCCGGCCTGATCCGGCTCTTGGGGTGAGGGTTCACTCCTAAGACAGAGGAAACCCGGAAACCCTGCACAGACCCCACCCCTCTCTTCTAAGGCACGAGGTCCGATTAGAAAGCTCACCCGGCCTCTCACCCGATTCTCCGTTGCGGGGGAGCGGGGGCAGGGTTAACCGTTAACCCACGCTAACCGCCTCTCGAGCGCACGTGACGGGGCCCGGGGACGAACTCGGCTAGCAGCTACCGACCAGCTCACCGACGGGGCTAGGGATGCCTCGAGGCAACAGCACCACACCGGCAGATATATCTCACACGCAGCGGCCGCGATCTGCTGTATCACCGCCGCCTGCGCCACTGGCCACTCCCAGAAGTGGTGTTTTTTGTGTGTGTGTGCGTGTGCGTGTGCGTATGCGCGTGTGTGTGTAGCCCCCTGGACCTCCCTTCCCCCACGTCCAACCTCCGGCCCTTTTCCCTTCTGTCTCCTCTTTCCCTCACGCGTTTGTTTGTATGTATGTGTGTACCATTTATTTGAGTACATGTATGTATGTATGTATGTATGTATGTATGTATGCAGGAGGGCCGTCTTCGACTGCGTCTCAACGCGCTGTTGATGGAGTACCCCCGGAATGAGGGGCAGGACCTCGGGGTGGGCCCGCAACCGACACCACTACCACCACCATCGCTGGCGGCGACGACGGCGGCTGCGGCGACGACACAACCCCTCCAGCATTCCGCGACCACCACCATGACGCCGACTACCGCCACTACCGCCATCAATGCCAACGGGGCTATTATTGCTGCAGAGAGCTCAAAGGGCCCCCCAGGTTATCAACACCACCACCACCATCAGCAGCAGCAGATGGCGGCTGCAGCAACCCCCAATGGCGCCCCGGATTTAGCCGCAGCAGCAGTAGCACCAAGAATAGCATCGCCAGGATCTGCTGCAACTGCTGATACTACTACTACTACTACTGCTGCTGCTACTGCTGCTGCTACTGCTGCTGCTACTGCTGCTGCTACTGCTGCTGCTACTGCGGGTGCAGCTGTTGGTCTAGATGGGGGGTCATCATCAGCGGTAGTCGGGAAGCTGGTGCCAGGGGAATGGAGCGCCAATAGTGTCGGGACGGACCCGTGGGTCACTTTGCCTGAAGCAGCGGCTTGCCATGTGGGCCTGCCTGTGCCGATGCCCGTGCCCGTGCCGATACCTGTGCCAGTAGGTGTGGGGTTACCCATCACACTACCTCGCGGGGGCCCCCGGGATCATGATGATGATTATGACATTGGTTGTTATGAGGGCTTCATGGGATGTGAAGTTGGTAATAACAATACTAGCAGTATTAATACTGGTGATAATGGTGGTGGTGTTGATGGGTCCCCGTATTGTGGGGGAAGTGCAGAGCAACATGCGCAGCAGCAGCCTCCGGGATTGGACGAGCCTGCAGTTCGTTGGCTTCGTACGGCTGCCGAGTTCGACGCCATGCTGCGGCACTGCTACAGCTCGGGCCAGACGGGCCTTGCGGTCCATAACAGCGGTGGAGGGAGAGCGGAGGTGGCGGCGGTGTATGTGCCCGCGGCGGCGGCGGCGGCGGCGGCAACGACCGGCGCTGGGCCGGCAGGAGCAGATGTGCCGTACTGCACTCAGCATGTGTCAGGTTGGCGCGCGACTGTGTACCTTTTTGATTGTACGGCGCTGGTTCCGATCGACGCTGTCGGAGGCGATGGCGTCGCCGCCGCCGCCGCCGCGGCGCTACGGTCTCTCCTGGAGAGCCCCCGGGTGGTCAAGATGGCTCATGGGTGTGACAAGGTGGGAGGTACGGCGGCTGGCGTCGCCTTTCCGTTGCCTTTCGTCTCCCTTTGCCGCCGCAGCAATCTCTCCATCTCTATCATCACTACTTATATTCCCTAAACGTTCGCTTTTTACAAACTTAAAGTATTAGGTAATTAAAACTTTGCTAGTTAATATTGATCTGCAAGGTTACGGATTGTCCCAAAACTACCGATAGCACCGTCCGGGAATTTTCCACATGCATGCACATGGCCGCCAGGAAGGTTTATGTGCAAGGTGCCGTCCATCACCTTCACCACATTTCATTCGGCCCCAAACGCCGTCGCCATCGCCGCGGCCTCTTTCTCTTCCCAATTCCAACTGCCAGCCCACAACCGTAACAACCACCATCCACCAACGACCCCCACCAGGTCGTTGGCATCGCGGCATGTTGCGGCGCCAGCTCCATTGGCCCCATGTTGGACACGAGAGTATTGCTCAAGGCCCTCACGGCCATGCTGCCGCCGCTGCCGCCACCTCCCGCACCGCTGCCGGCGGCGGCGGGTGGCGCCAGCGGCGCCATGGCGGCCCTGGGGCCGCTGGCGGCGGCGGCGCTCTCCCACCTGAATGGCTACGTCAGCGGGTTGCGTGAGGCGCTGTCGGCGACAGGGCTATGGTCGGACCGCCCGGAGCTTCTGGGGGCCTTGGCGGCGAGACACTTCGCGGCGCTGCGGGAGGAGACATTCGGTGTACGGGAGTGGGCGAGGTGAGGTGACGGCGCGGGACCCCATGTGCGGCCATGTGATGTGGTGTGCCATGGGTTTCGGGGTAAGAAAATGCGGTACATCTCCCCTCTTAACCCCCCTTGCTGACACCGACCGACCTCATCCGAGCACTGATACTGACACTTACACGGACCCTGTCGTCGCCGCCCGGGTGATCGACCGACCCATGGGCCGCGCGGCTCCCTCCGCACTCGGCACTTGCAGCAATCCCGCGGCCCACGAGGCGGCGCTGGTGGCGGCAGCGAGGCACCTTCCAGAGCTGTGGGAGGCCTTGACGAATGAGGCCGTCCCATGGGTCGCGATGGCGGCGGCGGCGACGGCGGTGGATTCCGCGATGGCAGGGGCGGCGGGGCAGCGGCAATCGACCTCCTCCGCTGCTACTGCTGTTCCTGGAGGAGCAGTAGCAATAGCACCTGTTGCAGCAGCCCATCCCCTCGAAACGGTGTTTCCAGTATCGGGTGCTCCGTAGCAGGGGCTCCAACTTCTATGGTGGCTCCATTTTATGGAGCTTAAAGGAGTGCTCTCTTCGGATTGTACGGCAGATCTCTACGACCGTATCAGCGTATTGACGCATGGTCTTTTCCCCCAAGGTGTTCCTTCCTTCATTCGGACATCGGCGGTTTCGGAGCCTTCGTGGGACTAGAGGCGGGAAAAGAAAAGAGAAAAGAGGGAGGGGGCTCAGGTGTCAGCAGTCAGTTAGGCTACATACGGGCTCGACAACCCCCCTGGGGAGCGCTGGAGATTCGCACACTCACGCACGCACTCTCTCTCACACAATCTCACTCTCATTGGCTCCCGAGTGCACGCACACACGCATTGCATTGCATCTCTGGCCGGTATGGCTTTGCAGGAGATGCTGATCGTATGATCATGTGCCTGAGATGCGAATGTGCCGCGGATATAAAGGTGTGATGTGCTGCTAAAACCCTAAGGCGTCTCAAACCCACGTCAGCACCTCCTAGAGGCGGAAGAAGGTGCTGATGAAGATGATGAAGAACAGCGGTAGCGCCAACTCGGATACATCGCAATTCTCAGGAGTAGTATTCGAATGGGGAAAGAAAAAGAGAGAAGCGGGGTGGAGTAGGAGTAGGAGCCCTTTCTGAGGAGGCGGGGGGGCCCCCCTCCTGGTGCCGTTGACCTCCCCTTCCGAATGCACCGGCAGACTTAGTGAAGACGTACGTTCTCCGATAGAAGCGGGGAAGCAAAGGGGTTGTGTAGAGAAGCGAGAGCGGAGATGGTTCGGACACTGGCTCCTTTTTACATGGTTCGGTTTGGCGTGTTTAAGAGGTGTGCATGATGAGAGAGATAGACGCGCACACACACGCGCATACACACTCGCAGAGAGAGTGTTCCCATACAACCTGTCCCATATGCACACAAAAGTCAAGCAGGGGATGATGGAGATGACGGCGTTCTCATGGCTAGAGTGAGTGAGTGCTTCAGCGAAGAGAAGGCAGTCATGTGTGCTCGTGGTGTACGCTCAGGCTAACGTGCACGTTTATGCATGTCTGTAATAATGCCGGTGTGTCTGTATGTATGTGGGTCTATCGTTCGGCGAGAAGTACTGTTTGGTGGTAGATTAGGCGCTTCGAAAGACACTGCGGGTCAGTGTGATGGGGAAAAGCAGAGGTTAGAAACCGGTCAGACAGTAGCGAAGCAGCAGCAGCAGCAACAGTAGGATGCTGGAAGGGCAGGAGAGAGATTGCCAGAGATGGCCATCATCACCGGGTGGAGTTCTGGGATAGAAGTAGCCGTTTTGTGTGCCGTCGCGTTTTGGCGGCTTGAAGTGATGGTAGAGGTCTTGTACGGCAAAAATGGACTTTGCACGTTGGTTTGTCATTACTCGCTGATAGTATTATGTGATGTCTCGCACAGCCAAATCTTTCTTTGTAAGTAGTGCATTGTTATACAGGTTGGAAGGACCTTGAGCGCCCGGATACCCACGTACAGTTACGGTGACACAGCTGATTCCCGACTTGAGATGGGATTTGCACATTGCGTAACACGTTAAAGCAGACTGGATTTTTTGCAAGTATGCTTTGCGCATCAGCGAAGGGCACAGATAGACTAGTCGCGGCTCGCACCATGCACTTCGCCACCTGCCGACCACTCCAACATGTTTGCGGATTCGGCCCCGCTGGCTTAGCTGTTCGCCGAAATGTATGCATTGCTCGCTCAAGCCCAAAGCCGATTGGTGGGTGCCTGCGTGCGAAATATATGCCATCGCGACCCCACTACCATAGCGGTTGACGATAATGCGCCCGCGGCTGGACGCAAGTTTATAATTTTTGGAAACATACTTTGAGCACTTGCGTAACATTTGTGAACGTGCAATTTCCTAGTCTTGAAACGGATTTAACCATAATAACGTCCCAAGATCTTTTTTAAGATTTTGCGCCTTTGATTGCAGATTACGAGCATGAACTAGTTATCATAGTATATTAAGACATTGTTCGCGCATAACTACAATGCGACATCGTCACCAGCATACCCGTCTGCACCCATCCCTGCTCCGCCCTGCCCCCGGGCCCCCACATCCCCCTAAGCTCCCCCATTCGTTTCCCCCTTTACCATCTAAAGCTCCTAGCAACCCAAGAAACACTTAACCTAAACCTGCATGCAATGCAATCCAATCCAAGGTCCAACTCCATTCAATCGGCAAAAAAGCGAATTCCAACGCCTCGCAAGAGCAAAGCGAGCCGCCCGCCCGCCCTCTCCAGACCCAGATGGCCAGGCTCCTCCTTCACGGCCAACTTCAGCTCCGGAACCTCCTGGCTCCAGCCCCAGCCCCAGCTCCAACCCCAAGCTTAACCCGCCAAGCCTAATACATCGCGCTTTCTCTGACTCTCCTGAATGGCCCGCATTTCTGGGTACTTTGGCCAACAGCGGCGCCATTACCGGCACTCTACTGGACGGCATCCACTCCCGCATGGGGCTGCAGGTGAAGATGCTGTGTGTCAGCTTAGCTGTACGGCGGCCGTTGGTAACGGTTAGCAGGATTGAACAGGGAGTGCAGAGGGGTGTGTGAGGTGTGACGTGTGACGTGTTTAGGTGCGGTTGCTTGCTTGGGGGGTTGTGTACCGCGGAAGCTGTCCAAGCAGTCCCGCACATAAGGCCTGTTTGGGAACCCCGATGGGGTTGGGGTTGGGGTTGGAGTTGGGGGTGATGGCGGTGGTGGTGGGGACGTTTCGTTGGTTCCAGGCATCCGTCCAAACCCCCACAGCCCTGCGGCATGTGACCCAACGGCCGCTGTGTCGTACCGCGACAGGTGTACGACATGGCACCGGTCGTCCTTGGCGGCCTGAAGACGTCGCTGGTGGTTCCGCCGCTGCTGGCTCTGTTCTACGTGGTGTTGGGCACCCTGCACCCCGTCATGGGTGGGTGGGAGGTAGTGGAGTGGGTGGTAGTGGGGTGGGTGGTAGTGGGGTGGGTGGTAGTGGGGTGGGTGGTAGTGGGGTGGGTGGTAGTGGGGGGTTATTAGTCGGGACACGGGCGGCCGAAGGTGGTCTCGGAGGACCCGGGGGGTGGGGTGGGGGTTGCAGTGGTGGTGTGGGGCAGTACGGCGGCGCAGTGACCGTCCGGAATGGAAACCTCGGTTAATTTGGGGGGGAGGAGGGGGGGTTGCAACGACCTGGTGTCGCACCACGTCTCGCATGGGGCCTTGTACCACTTGGCCGCCTAACCTAGAAGCAAAACTTCAAGCCAGGGGTTTGGCGGGTGGTGGCTGGAGGGGCGGCCCACCACCACCGCCACCACTACCACCACCAGTTACCCCCCTCCCCTCCCCGTGTCAATACCCGCACGTTACTTGACGTTACTCCCCGTCCCCCTCCCCCCCGTCCCCATTTCGGGGGGAAGCTTCCTGTCCATGTTGCTGTGGACATGAACTGTGCTGTGTCTCAATGTTGGTGTTTTTTTTGCACTTTTGCAGCCCCTCTGTCCGCCTGTTTCCATTTCCCGCACCACTACCACCACCAGAACCCGCACCCCCCCCCCGCACCCCCCCCCGCCAGACAACCTCAACCCCGCTCCCGAAACGGCCTCCATCCGCTCGAGCTCCTCCGATGTGGGGTTCGTGGCGCTGGCGTTCGGAGCGCTGGCGGGGCTGCTGCAACTGAGTGCAGTACTGTACGACAAGGTAGACGCCGCTCGCAGCGCCCGTACACACGATGTAACTAACATGTGCAACACGCTGAAGCGGATCTTTCCGTCTGTCTCGCAAATTCACTGTTTGACTTTGTTATATGTATCTCACGACGTGTCACCATCAGCGTATAATTTTACCTGTTCCTTTCGGCTGCTTGGAAGGTTGACTTTCAGGCTGGGTCAAGGGCACCCAGTGTGTGTGTATGGGGGGGTGGGTGGGGGTTTGGGGGGGCTAGACAACGACAGTTATTTCAAGAAAACGAAATACAAATATGGCCTCTAAATTCTTATGTCAATCCCAATGCGCAGCATTTGCAGAGACCTTCTTCAACAACCCCCGAAGTATAACCGAGGGGGGGGTGACCCGGAGGGGGGTTTAAGGGGGAATAACCTGATTTCGGCGCAGGAGAAGCCAATGTACGGCCTCCCTGAAACACACTCGTCTTACTCGGATTCCCCGCCCACCCCGGCTGTACGACTTACTAAATCACTACCTGCCTCCCCAATCCCCCTCATGTCCACGGTAATGTCCCCGCCGTACACTCCAGGGAGTGCCGTACTGGCAGATACATTCTGTCTTGGGCTTTGCGGCGTTAATTAACTGGCGCGTTTTTGACGGAACTCGACAAGTAAGTGCGTGAATGAGTGAGTGAGTGAGTGAGTGAGTGAGCGAGTGGGATGCCGGGGGGAGACATGACTGACGGGGGTTCCGTCGCCTTGCGTGACAGCCCCCCACTGGTGGGGTAGGAGTGATGGGGGTGGGAAGAGTGGGGGTGGGAAGAGTGGGGGTGGGAAGAGTGGGGGTGGGAAGAGTGGGGGTGGGAAGAGTGGGGGTGGGAAGAGTGGGGGTGGGAAGAGTGGGGGTGGGAAGAGTGGGGGTGGGAAGAGTGGGGGTGGGAAGAGTGGGGGTGGTGCTGCAGCCACCCGGGTTTCTGAACGTCTCGCGTTTGTTCACTCGCTCGTCACTTAGGGGTGGGTTGCACACCCATTTCAACCACTAACCACCGTCCCAAGCACCGTCGTTATTTCCGCCCGGTGCCCCCGGGTGCGACTCCCCTCCCCTGTTCCCCCCTTAACGTCCCCCCGTTACACAAGGGTATTTTCCTGGCTCTGCTGTGTGGTTTCGGAGCCCCCGCGGTGGAGGTGCTCCTGCTGCAGGTGGTTCCCCTGTGGCATTACCCCCGGGTGCGTGTGTGGGGAGGGGAGGAGAGTACGACAAACCACTGGCGAATGAAGCATAGTGAATGAGTAGGGAGATGGAGAGTTTGGAGGGGTGAGGGTGGGATGGACTGTGGTGGTGATGGGGCGGGTGGGGCGTGGTGAGGGTTTCGGTACCTTTGATGTCTCCCTCCCCGTCACAGGACAAGTTGTGGGTAGAGGCGGGGTAGATGACCTCCCACCCGGGTGGGAGCCGTGTCGGGGCCTTGTATTCGGCCACGGGACAGGGCTCTCTAGTGGGTCTCTGCGGATGGTGTTCTCAAGTGTGCATGTCACACGTCACATGCCGTCCAACCCGGCCACGTGCTGTTTTACCGGCCGGACATACCCTGAAACACACAGAGACACACACAGACACGCGCAGACAGACACACAGACAGACACACAAAGCGCTCCCCCTCTGCTCACCGACCCACCCACCCACAACAAGTGACAAGCGATAAGAGTTTGGCGCCTCGATCCCCAATCCGCATGCCGTACACCAGCATCGTACCGACATACTGCTTTGATCTTATAACATGATCCATGATGAGCGAAATGCCGATTGGCGGCGACAAGCTTCCAGGCGCCTCGTCGTGTTGTGCGCCTCCGCAGGCCGACCTGGGGGGAGTGTTCGTGTCGTGGGTGTTTTGGTGCTACTTCTTCTACACACCCGCGCTAGGCAGCCTGGCCAGGTAAGTTTGCCTGGCGGGGGGGGCGGGGGTGACTTGTGTGTGTTTTAACGATCTGAGCTGCGATGGGAGAAATGCCGATGGCGGTACACGAATGCCTGGCGGTACACATGTATGTGCGCATGTATGTATGTGTGTGTGTCTTCCTCCTCCTGCTGCTGGTGCTGATCTGCCGGCAGGTACTTGTGGTCGACCATGAAGGAGGCGGAGCGTTTCGCACACGCGGGCGAGGGGGGGGCAACTTCGGCAGCGGGCGCTACGTCGTCGTCGTCGTCGTCATCATCATCATCATCCTCAGCAGCAGCAGCAGCAGGAGCAGCAGCAGGAGCAGCAGCAGCCCCCAAGGGTTCCTCGGAATCGCGGGATGCATGACCGTCCCCCCGGGGGAGACCGGGGAGATCATGTATGGCTCGCGACCGGATTAGAATGATGAATGGCGGCGGTTGATCTTGGGGGAATGGATGGGTAGTGTGAGTCCGGAGTGGCCGGAACAAAGCGAGGGGGGGATGTGTCGGTTTGGGAACATGGAAAAGGCAGGCTAGAAGGTAGGAAAGCTAAGGATGTGCAGGTAAAGGGGGATGGCTGGGACAGGGTTTGGGACAATGGCGCAATGGGCACCTTGCTGCTGCTCACTCCATGAGGTTGGCATTGTTTGTGGTCTGTCGTCCGCGGTGTTTAGGTCCCACCGGCATTTGGTATGCATACACGGAAACTATTGACAAGAGCTCAACTCGCTAAACATGTCTCCATGTTGTTGTCACACGCGGCAAGACTATTCGCTTTTATGCCCTTGTGTCCTTGGATAAAGAAAGGAATGGATAGGGGACTCGCACCACCTTGGAATTCACATCCTGTCCATCGTATCATTGAAGCTTATTTCATTTTCGTTTGTGGTGTTGGGCAATTGAAGTCAACCATCCTAATTGTAGGGTGAGGGGGGGTCGGGTTTGCCCCCTGTGTCGCTTTATCTTGCTGTCTAAAGAACATCCCATTTGCCAATTGCATCGACATGACATTGTATATAAGATCAAGTATTGTTTTCATCAGCTGAAGCGAGGTTTCGGTAGTCGTCCGTGAATAGCCTTCACGAAATTTTGCGGACGTGCGGTCTCCCCGCGAGCGCACTTCGTAAGGAAATCCTTGCAGTTAGAATGATGACTCTGTGCTCACACTATCCGCTAAGGGTCCACCATGTTGTCAACATAACGTAGTTTGTGCACGTGCTAGGTGCGGCGAGGAGCAGACCCTGGTCTTGGCATACTTTAGCCTATTATCATAAGTATAGCTAATTCAATAAACGGTATGATGAAGGGATATGCTCCGGGCCTCTAGGAAGGAGCTGTCGGGAAGGACAGGACAAAACAGGACAGGACCTTTATATTTACGGAACTGCCCATAACGATCTCAATGAGATCTGTGGACACGTTGGCGACGAAACTGTGACAGGGTGTCCGGCGTTGCTGTCGCGGACACCCTGTCGCGCTAACTGTTAACGAACCTTTCATAGCCTTTCGATACTAAAGCCGGCGCACAGCCACAATCTTAAACGTCTTTCCACATATCAACTAGTTTTATGAATATTTCCTTACATCAGAACGTGAACAGCCATCGGTTTGGCTTTCGGGAGCACCTGGAAGACTTGCGGTTGCAGCTCTATAGAGATGGCGTTCAGGAGCAAGGCTTGCCTCGGGTCTCGCATCGCAAGTAAGACCTTTTCTTTGAAAACTATTTTGTTATCTTTCCTGGGATATCCTTGCTCCTTCCGGTCCTAACTGAGCTGCCCGCTTCCCAACAATTCGTTATAGCAACGAACTGCCCTAACCTAAACTTTCACTTGAATCCACGGAATCATTCTACGTCCTGTACCTTACAAAATATAACTTGACGTTTTCAGATTTTGCATTATGCATAATTAAATATATGCTGGTCACTTCAGCGGTACCGCTCGCGTTGCCCTCCATTCCCGCGCATTCCTCCAATTGTGACATTGCCCTCGCAGGGTTCCCATTTAGGAGACCTGCCTCGCGGCGTCAATCGATATGCTTCTTGTTCATCGCAATACTCTCGGGAATTGCCCTCGTTGCGATCACGTCCAGCACGGCAGCAGCGTCCGCGTCGACTGCCCGCGCGGCCGCTTCGACTGTGGGCCCGGTCATCGGAATCGATCTGGGTACCACATATTCGTGCGTGGGCGTCTTCAAGAATGGCCGCGTGGAAATCATCGCCAACGACCAAGGCAACCGAATCACTCCCTCGTACGTCGCCTTCACCGACACAGAACGGCTGGTGGGAGATGCGGCGAAGAACCAGGCCACCATCAACCCCAAGCGAACCATATATGATGTGAAGCGTCTCATCGGCCGCAGGTAAGGAAGTGTGTGGCTCGCTGTCTCGGTGCCTCGGAGAAAGGTATGTGCCTCAGATTTAACAGCGATTAAATTAAAGCAATAAATAAAAAATAGACAACGGAGAACCTGCCAAATAATCTTGTATTATTTTTAGGAAGTATGAGCCGCGAGGGAAGGGTTTGTGCAACGGTGTCACTACAAGAGTTCCGCTCTAAAGATTGACGAGCATACAGTCGTTCTATTGTTCGACGCGAAATGTAGTTATTTATTCCATATCAAAACTGGAAAGCAAGTCAGTTCACGAACGATCGCTGGCTGAATGGGAGTAACGTCATGGTGAGCTGGAAATGGGCAACCGCGGTGCGCTTCAAACGTCCAGAGCGCTTCAACGTTGTAAAAATTGTCAGTCGATCGCGATGGTGAAATCCTGGTAGCACGTGTCCTCCTATTTTAAACCCCTAAAACAACCTAAACAACCTAAAACCTTATTCCTTTTTTAATCGCTGCGTCAGGTTCGAGGACAAGGAAGTGCAGCGCGACCGCAAACTCGTATCGTACGACATCGTGGAAAAGAACGGCAAACCGTACATTTCCGTAGAGGTGGGCGGCGAACCCAGGGTGTTCAGTCCGGAGGAGATCTCCGCAATGGTGCTCCAGAAGATGAAGGAAACGGCGGAGGCATACCTGGGAAAATCTGTACGGCATGCCGTGATTACCGTACCGGCGTACTTCAACGATGCTCAGCGCCAGGCCACGAAGGACGCGGGCACCATCGCCGGGCTTGAGGTGATGCGCATTCTCAACGAGCCCACCGCGGCGGCCATCGCGTACGGCCTGGACAAGAAGGGAGGTGCGTGGGAGATCTGACCCATGGGACAGTGTGAGCTCGCACGCAGCAGGCCAACGGTATCTTCTATCCAGCAAAGGACATTACCCATGCATTTCCCTCCTACGCATACAAGCCCATACTGCTCTTTCCTATCCCCGCCACACGTGCCCACCCGCTGCGTTTTCACTCGAGCTCGCTCAATCTCGAAATGCAAACGCGGGGATGCCACTCGATGCTCAACGGTTCCAACCGCTATACACAGGGGAGAGCAATATCCTGGTGTTCGATCTGGGAGGCGGCACATTCGACGTGTCCGTCCTCGCCATTGATAATGGCGTGTTCGAGGTCCTGGCCACCAGCGGAGACACCCACCTGGGTGGTGAGGACTTCGACCAGCGCGTCATGGAGTACTTCATCAAGCTCGTCAAAAAGAAGTACGGCAAGGACGTCAGCGGCGACGCCCGCGCCCTCCAGAAGCTACGACGGGAGGCTGAGCGAGCCAAGCGGGCCTTATCCAGCCAGCACCAGGTGTGGGGGCAGGAGGGGGAGAGAGGGGGAAAACCCGCGGGCCCGCGGGGAGGTCGGCGTGTGCAACGGAGAGGAGGGCGAGAAAGGACAACAGGATTTTGCAGTGATGTACAGCAGGCATGGTGTACGATTGTACGGCATAAAAGTGTACGGTGTTGGGCACGGCACAAACGCCGAAGGATGTGATACATCATGTTGTGTGTGTGTGTGTGTGTGTAGGTAGGTAGGTAGGTAGGTAGGTAGGTAGGTAGGTAGGTAGGTAGGTAGTTGATTACACTGCTGGCTGAAAAGCCGGGGGCCAGGATCGAAACACAGCGCGGGGGGCAGATGCACACGGCTGGTCAGTCTCCTCGTGCATTCCGCCCCCGGGTCAGACCGCGCGAGAGGTACGACGGCCGGCACTAACCAGCGTTCCCCACCGGGGGGTTAGCGCTAGAGCTAAACGGGCTCTAGGCCTGCTGGTCACCTAACAAAAACGAATTCGCGCCCGGGCAGCTCTTACTACGGGCGGAAAGTACCGAACACCTTCCAGAGAGCTCGCAACCAGGACCTGGGCGACCGGGAGCCCGACGAGTCATCTCGGGCTGGGGAGGTCAACAAGCTCCGAAAGCCTAAAACGAAGAGCAGAAAGCGCAAACAGCTCACATTACAAGACGCTAAACAGCCTCCTGAGTCTACTACCCTCCCCCGCCTGTCCCTCACTGGGCTAGTCCAAGGGAGATGTATGTATGTATGTATGTATGTATGTATGTATGCATGTATGCATGTACGTATGTGTGTATGCATGTATACATCCGTTCCCCCGGGTGGCCATGCTCTCCAGGTCCGTGTGGAGGTCGAGGGTCTAACGGAGGGTGTGGACCTGTCTGAGCCGCTGACCCGTGCCCGCTTCGAGGAGCTCAACATGGACCTCTTCAAGAAGACCCTGGGCCCGGTTAGGAAGGTAGGGGTGTGTGGGAGGGGGCCCGGTGCGGGTGCGGGTAAAACTGAGGGCGCGCAGATGGCCATCGTGGCGATCCAGTGTTGCATCTCTCGACACTTTCCATTTATTTATGCAAGGTGAAAATGGGTTAGAGACATCCGGATAAGGTAACCTCCGCGCTGTGGTGGCCAAGAGCCTCAGTGCTCGGGATCACGTCACGCAGCCCCACACAGCCAGACCCACACAGCCAGACCCACACAGCCAGACCCACACAGCCCCACACAGCCAGACCCACACAGCCAGACCCACACAGCCCCACACAGCCAGACCCACACAGCCAGACCCACACAGCCAGACCCACACAGCCCCACACAGCCAGACCCACACAGCCAGACCCACACAGCCCCACACAGCCAGACCCACATCAGCCCCACACAGCCAGACCCACACAGCCAGACCCACATCAGCCCCACACAGCCAGACCCACACAGCCAGACCCACATCAGCCCCACACAGCCAGACCCACACAGCCAGACCCACACAGCCTCACAACAGACCCTTGATGTCCCCCTGAAGGCGTTCTGTGCTTCCCACTCCTGCTGGTGGGCCCGTCTTCTTCCGCTGCCGTGTTGTTGATCGCTTGGCATTTTGTCATCCTCAAATTCACAAAACACACTCCACAGATTGGTTACTCCACAGATTGGTTACTCCACAGGTTGGTTACTCCACAGGTTGGTTACTCCACAGATTGCTGCTGCTGCAACTGCTGCTTCCGCTGTATTCCTCAGGCGCTCGACGACGCCAATTTGAAGAAGACCGACATCGACGAGATCGTGTTGGTGGGGGGCTCCACTCGCATTCCAAAGGTCCAGGAGCTGTTGAAGGAGTTCTTCGACGGCAAGGAGCCGAGCAAGGGTGTCAACCCGGACGAATCAGTTGCGTACGGTGCTGCCGTGCAGGGCGGCATCTTGGGCAACGAAGGTGGGTTGGCAACGCGGTGAAGGGAGGGCGCGAGTTTGGTGCCGCTTGCGATGCTGGGAGCGGTGGGTGGTTTAGGTGGGGGAGAGAACGCGTCGCGTGGCTCCGTTCCGCCTCTGTGGCTCTGTTGTTGCCTGTCTGTCCGCCTGTCCGTCTGCATGTCTTTCTGTCCACCTGCCCTGCCTTACACGCATACCACCTCCGCTGCATATACACACAATGCACACACACGCACACTCTCAACACGCGCGCTCATGCACGCCACGCAGGTAGCGAGAACCTGGACACGGTTATCATTATCGACAGAACGCCGCTGTCGCTGGGCATTGAGACCGCAGGGGGGGTCATGACCCCGGTCATTTCCCGCAACTCCGTCATCCCCACCAAGAAGTCGCAGGTCTTCACCACCTACTCAGACAACCAGCCAACCGTGTCCATCCAGGTGGGGTGGGGACGTGGGGGGTTGGGGAGGGCGGTATGGGTGTATGGGCGCACGTATGTGTGCATGTGTATTGCACAACCACAATCACTCTCTTCATTACCCGGAACAGGTTTTCGAGGGCGAGCGCGCCATGACCAAGGACAACCACAAGCTGGGCCAGTTTGAGCTCAGCGGCATTCCGCCAGCACCCCGCGGCACCCCCCAGATTGAGGTCACGTTTGAGGTGGACGCCAACGGCATCCTCACCGTGTCTGCGCAGGTTAGTGGTGGGGGCCCTGGGGGAAAGCGACTGGGGCCCTTTGGAGCGGTGGTCGACCTTTGGGTGAAGTTAGGAGGGGAGGTTTTGGTGGCTTTGGGTGTGGGGGATGCAAATCATCCGTGTTGGTGTTAATAGACCCCGAATCTCCTCTTTTATGTTATCTAGATAGTGAGGAGTCATCCCTGGGATTGAAAGAGTTTTTTCCTGTGGGTCTCTTCCATGGCATTTCCCTTCACCGTGTTTAAACGTGGCTCAATTTTCCTTTTTATTGGTCCCTCGATTTATTATTATTAGTAGGTAATGACGTGGCCTGCGTGAGCCTCACCCCTTTCTTCCACTCTTGACCCCAGGTTTTGTAACCGCCACTCAACTATCGCCTAACTGAAGACCTAACTACCCCTGACAAAAACACACAGGACAAGGGCACGGGCAAGAAGGAGCGCATTACTATCACCGCAGAGAAGGGTCGCCTCAGTGGAGAAGAGATGGAGCGAATGGTGAAGGAGGCGGAGGAGTTTGCGGAGCAGGACCGGGCTGTTCGGGATCAAGTGAACGCCCGCAACCAGCTGGAGTCGTACTGCTACAGCATGAGGTCGACGGTGGAGAGCAAGGACAAACTTCGGGACAAGATTGACGAGGACGATAAAGACAAAATCCTGGCCGCGGTCAAAGAGGCGTTGGACTGGCTGGACGAAAACCCCGAAGCCGGTACGTGCGCAAGTTTACTAAGGGTGTGTTCACATGTAGTCCAATTGAGAGTCTGATTGGGAGTCCGATTCGGGGCGGCTTTCTGAATTGTGTTCACATACGATTCGCTGCACGGCGCGAGGTGCCACCGCGCCCAGCTGAAGCTCCGCGGCTACGCCCCATCACCCAAGGCAAGCCAGCATTATCTAGGAACAGAACAGTATAAGTATCGTTTCTATGGCGAAAATTATCACCAGGCTTGTACATACATAGCTGCAGGAGTTCGTGGAAAATGCTCGGTGCGCTTTGCGTGAATTAACAATTGGAAAATGTTCCTATAGTATTGTAATGGTAATTATGAGAAACGGTTTGTTAAACAACTTTGTTTTGAGAAAGAAAACTGTGAATCACGTCGAATCATACCCGAAGAGGCCCCCCCGGACCCCAATTCCGATTCGGGTCCAATCAGGTCCAATTCAGAGTCCAATTCGCATGAATCAACCCTGATTCGCCCACATGTGAACACGTCCTAATGTTTCATTTCAAGGCACTAAATTGCCATTGGCTTTTTGTCCCAAAAGAGCGGCTGTCGATGTCTTACAAATTATGCTTTCTTTGGTAAATATATGTAATCTGTATTACAAACTAAATAAAACAGAAAAATGATAATCAGTCAGGGTCAAGTATGTATGTGTGTATGTATGCATGTATGTACATGCATGTGCGTTTCTTTCCGCGTTTCTTTCATCTGTAACTCAACGCATGACATGTGTTTTGTCGATACACGCGTGATGTACTTAGTGGGGCACTAAACGGGCACGCGGTAAACAACTACTACTGCTGCTGCTGCTGCTGCTGCTGCTGCTGGCGTTGCCGCTGTCGCTGACGGGTACCCTCCTCCTCGTGCCCGTCCTCCTCCTATTACTACTACTACTACCTGTTTCAGAGGCCGAGAGCTACCGGGAGAAGCTCAAGGAGGTTGAGGACGTATGCAATCCCATTATCGCTCGGGTCTATCAGGCGGGGGGTGGGGCAAGTGGGGAGGAGTCCGAGGACCTGCGCTATAACGACGAGCTCTGATGACAGGTGGCACCTCCCCCCCCCCCGGTGATTGAATGAATGAATAAAATTCTCGTTACGGTGAAGTGGAGTGGAGTGGAGTTGTGTGGTAATCTCGGGGCGAAAATAGCACGTACCAGCAAAAGCGGACGTGGGGGGCTGACCCAATGTTAGCGGCCAGGATTGGCTGGCTGCACCGAGGACCGGACCAAGGGCTTTCTAGGGTTTTAGGGTTTATGGAATTAGGAGTTTGAAGGCGTTTTGACTTGTGCCTGCGTACATACGTGTGAAGAGAAGTAGGGTTTGATTCCAGTTAGGTGGAGATGGACCGAGCAGCGCCGGGTGGCCGTCTTGCCGGCCATGGTGGTGAACTAACGAGACCCTTTTGGGGCAATGAAACGAGATGGGTTGCATGCTGAGGCTGGCTTGGGCACTCCTCAATACATGTGGAAAAAAGGCGCAGTCGTCGAATGATTTGAGTCCGTCCTTGCATACTTCTTGGATGGATCATTTTAGGGTGCTGCTGGACACTAAAAAACTCGTTAGGGTGAAGAATCTGAAACGTAGTATAGAATGAGGACGGTGCTGGACGGAGCGCCCAAATCGTCGGAGCGCTTACGCCCGCAAGGACATGTTACCTCTATCGCGTACCTAACTGCCTGAGAGCGGCTATTTAATAAAGACACGGGAAGGGATGCCGTTGGCAATGTGCTGTGCCGTGGTGATGGAAGGCTAAGCGCTAACTGCAGGACGCGTCGCGTACCGCCAATATAGATTTGTAGAGCAGCTGTGATGAGGAGTTCGTTCTACGATGAAGGGGGAAGGGAAAGCTGCTCTATCTACATCCCAGGGGTGTCAAGGCGCTGTGCACGATAGCAGTCATAGAGAAGGCCCCCCGGGTAACATGCCACAGCGCACCGGTGGGACCTCCGGAGTGTAAAACAGCTACAAACTTATGCAAGCGCAGGCACGTGGATGGAAATGGCACCGGGTACTGGTTGAAGATTCAAATTAGGTCGGCTTCCTTATCATGACCCATGGGTCATTACCTGTGCACAGGGCCCTTTTTCGGGATGGCCGTCCCTTACGTCCTCCGCCCGTGCCGTGCCGGTAACCTGCGCCGGCTCCTAATATCTCTCTAACCCCTTTCCCCCACATGGCACCTTTAATCGTACGCATTAATAATCAGCCCCCCCCCTCATCACCGTGCATTCGCCCAAGCGATAAACGAAAGAAGAGCCTGGCCGGCGAAACCCCGCGTGCGTGCACGAATGCAATGGCGCCTCGCTCCCCTTGAACCAGCAACATCGAGACCCGACCCGATCCGACCCGCCACCTCCGCTTTCAGTTGGTGCCTTTGGCATCCTTACGTGCGTCCTCGGTTGTGTGTATGTGTGTCTGTCTGTGTGTACAGCACCATGCCCACGGTCAGAAGACAGTATATCTAGTCGCGTCACCTAGTCAAACAACTAACTAATCAACCAACCTCTCAGCAGGACAGTCGACAGCGTTACCCAAGTGCAGTCCAGGTCCATGCAGCGTGACCATTGAGTACTGTTTATTATGTTATGCATTTAGAAGTTCATCAGCATGGGCGTGTGTGTCTGTCCGTCTGTGTATCTGTCTGTGCGTCTGCGTACGTGTGTGTATATGCATCAGCGGAATATACAGCAGCAGCACACAGCGGCTGCAGCACTGCCATCGGAAGACGTGCCACGCACTCTCGCACCCGTACATCGACACCAGGCTGGTGCCGCACCGCGGCGCACCACGATAACGGCGGCGGGCGGGGACACCACGCTTGGCACAGCAACGCCGTGCACGACAAACGGTCAGACAGGCAAGGCGGATAGACATACAGCAAATCAGCAAGCAGCGCTCGGGAAGACCCGCAGCCCCGGTGGCATCACGCCACATCATACCCCGTGTAGTAAAAGCACACACCATCACACCACACCACACCACACCGCACCGCACCAAACAGTGCCCAACCCGCTGCCGTCAAAGAGGGGAGCGTACAACGAGCTTGCATCGACTTCCCTAACACCCTCCTACCAAGCGCTCACGGCTGCAGTCACAAACCAGTGATAACGATAGAGAGGTTACCACACGAACAAAGAACAAAGGGAAGAGAAAGCGCGGCGCACCAGCACACCCTTTCCTGTGGCCCTGGCCCCCTGGCCACCCCCGCAAGCATACGACTCTTCCTCCACACACCTCCAGTCACCTCAGGTTCCCGCGAAACAGCGAACCGCGACGCGTGCCCTGAGCAGCAACACCACGGCGCGGACCCACACACCGCCAGACGTAGCTCACGCATTCGACTGCAAACTCGTTACATGAAAGATGAAACGCCGAACGCACGAAAGAAGTGGCGGAAGAAAAGAATATTCAAAACAGAGTCCAACGCTACGACTCTGGGACCAGCATCAGGCAGCAGCAGCAGCAGTGGCAGCAGCATTGAACAGCGAACAGCACTCCAACAAGCCCTTCCCCTCTTTGACCCTAGCTAGACTCAGCAAACACGTGCCGGCCTGCACCCGTAGCGCTCTTCATCCAACCCACCCACACCGCCCCGATGCCTCCACACCGCAACTTGAACAACTTGGCAAGCAAATCCGGACGCTTACCAAGTCGTAACAGATCACCGCCACCCCACCGCATCATCCCCTCGCCCATTACCGTCACCATTGCCGCAAGACGACCCGGATATCATCAGACCCCTGACCAAGCGGCTCACCCCAGCAGGTCTAACTCCGCATATAACACACCCCAGCATGTTTACTCCCACTCTGCACACACACACACACACACACAGCCAACACATCACCGAAATCCTTCACCTCATTTACCTTTGCATGCTCACGGTTACCGGCACCCCAGTTGGGAGGCCGCCCCCAAGATGAAGGTGGAGAGCAACGGGCGACGTGGTGCCGGTGTTGCAGTAATGATGAATGCGCGGTGTGTGTAATTTGGCTGTGCTCCATACAGCCGATATAGCCGATGTGTGTTACTTCATCGCCCTAAGTCCTCCTCCCCGCCCCCGCTGTTACGGCAGCCGTCCACGACAACGCAACCGACGCCCGCCGCCGCACAGGGCTCCGTTCCCAAGCCACACCGCAGTTCTTCATGACTCCGCAGACACAAGCCGCTCACACGCCCACAACATGCGCAGCAGCTGCTGACAGACGGCAACATGGTGCGGCAGCAGCTGCAGCGGTGCGTCCCAGCCTGCGTCGCCGCTGTCACCGTCGGCGTCGGCAACTCCAGCGGCGCCCCACCCCACCCCGCCGCTGCCGCTGCCAGTGACGGCGACTTGACGGCGGCCCGGTGTGGGTCCGCCGCGCGCGCCGCTTTGGGCTGTCAGTAGCCAATCCCGCAAGAGGCAAAGGCCGTACAGCTCCCGAAGCATCGATCCTCCAGGATCTGACCAGCCTCCCACTGCGCCGCTGACGCCGCCGTCGGCGCTACAGCCGGCCGGGCCTACGGGACCGCCGTCAGCGGCCAAGCCGTCAGACCGCTCCCCCCATCGACGGCGCTTTTGCATCTGCTGATGCTGCTGACACCCGAGGCCCTGGTTCCCGGGCCCGACGACGCTCGCCGTGCCGCCGCCGCCGCCGTTGTCGTAGCCCGCCGATGTGGCAAGAGCTGGCGAATAGCCTGAGGGGCGCTTGAGAATATTCATGACAGCCGCCGTCTTCGCCGTCGTCTGCGTTGGCCCGCCCTGCCGCTGGCCCTCCTCGCTGCCGCCTGCTGGTCCCGCCGCTGCGGCCTCGAGCGGGGCCCCAATCGGCGGCGGCGGCGGCGGCGATGGGATACGTGGCCATGGGTGCACTGAGAGGAGCCGCAGGTGGTGATTCAGAGCCTCTGCGGCAGCGCAGGTCGTGCTGGGCGGCCGCTGCGCTGGGAAGGCTACCAAGGTAATCGGCAGGCGGAATTCCCCGGCCGCTGGTTGCGCGTATGGGTTCGCCGGCGGCGGCGGCGGCGGCGGCAGTGGGATGGAATGCTGGGGGGCTGCAGCGCTGGCGGGCAGCTCGGAAGAGCAACCGGAGCAAGCCACTGCAAAGCCGCCCTGCGGCAGCCGACAGCCGGGCTGCACGGCGATGGATGGGTGCGGTTCAAGCCACGCGAGCGTTACGGGGGCGGCGGCGGGAGAAGCGGCAGATGGTACAGGAGCCGCGGCTTGGTCCCAACGGCGACGCAGGGAGCCGCCGCCGCCCGCAACAACAGGGACGTACGGAAGCAACAGACGCCACTCCGCCGCTTCGGCGGCGGTGGGCGGCCCTAGCTTCGCGAGTGCGAGAGGTGCCATAGCGGCTCTGGACCGCCCCCGTGTACCAGACGCCGCAACGGCGCCGTTTGGGCTGACGGCACCGTCCGTACAGGCACCAGCTGCGGCGGCGGCGCTGACGTCACCGCTGTACGCTTCCGCAACCTGACGACTGAGAAGCTTGGCATGGCCAAGAACCGTACGGCAGACGAGCGCGTCAAGAGAGTTCGCTTCCCCTGATGCGTGGGAATCCGCTGCGGCCGCTGTTGCTGTTGCTTTCGCCGCCGTCGCCGCTGCCGTTGGCGCCGGCAACAGTGACACCGGCTGTGCCATCACCTGCACTGGTTGCTGTTGCTCCCGGTCCGCAGACTGCAGCTGAGGACCGACCATACCAACATCCCCTATTGCGTCACCACCGGAACTCCGAAACCGTCCCGCCGGATCCGCGCAATCCTGCCTGGCGTCACCGCTGCCGCCAGTGCCGGTTCTGGAGCCGTCGCCACCGCCGCCGTCCACTTTGCAGTTGCAAGGCCCCGATGACGATGACTGCGCCGCCGCCTGCATCGAAAGACCGTCAGGCGCCGTGCCGCCACCACTCCCGCTGGTAGCCGTAGCAGCGACATCGGCTACTGCCGCTGCCCTGTCTTTGTGAGCGTGCGCATCGAAACACAGGGCAAAGGCACGCGCGTCCATAAGCTTACCGCCAGCATCACAGAAAGCCATTGCCAGCCAGCACCGCTCCTGCTGCTGCGGCGGCTGGGGAAAATGCCCGCCAGAGGTTTGGGCTGTGCCAGCCCCCGCCGGGGTGTAAGGCCCGCAAGAAGCCGCCCGTGCTGATGCCTCCGGGAACCGCCACCAAGCGTAGCAACCGTGCAATGTCGGCGGCGGCGCCGGCGGCGTTACCGCCTGGACCGTCCCCGCCGCTGGCCCTGCCCCGTACTGATGAATGGCGGCGGGTTCGGCAGCACTGAGAGGGCTGACGGAGGCGCCGCCCGCGCGTGTAGCATGCAACGGTGGCGGCAAGCCGTGCTGATGCGGTGGAAGGGACGGTGGCGGGGGCGGCGGCGAGGGCGGCGGCGGCAGAGGCAGCGCAGCCGGGTCGTCGTCCCCGGACGCTGGAAGCGACAGCGGCGCCAACGCTACCAGTGGTTCGTACAGTACCGTACGACCGCTGCAACTGCTCGCAACGCAACAGCGATCAGCCCAGCTTTGATTGCTGCCGCCCCCGATGCCGCTATCCCTGCAACCGACCGGTGCCGCCGCCGCGGTGTTACCGGCGGACAACGTGAGGGACGATGACGACGACGATGACGATGCTGACCACGCTGACGCGCCGGCAGCAGCTGCGCCGTACCCGGCCCGCCGCCGACAGAGCTTGCTGTACGCCGCACAGGCAGTGGCCCTGACGCTGGCGCCAGTTACATCGTGCAAGGAAGACGGTAAAACCACCTGGAAAGGAAAGACCGGATCCCCGGCGGAAGGGCCACGCGACGGGTCTTCAAACTCTTTGCAACTTAGGGTTGCCCTTGAGACGTGATGGAGTGATATCCCGCCCGGCATGCTTCGGTCTCCACGGTCCACCGCTCAATCGACTAGCTTCGGTTTCGGTTCTTCCCCCCTCATCTTTCCCCCCTTCCCCTACCAAATCGGCCACAACGCCATATATGACCAGCACCACGTCTCCTAGGGACCGGGGTCCAATCCCTCCGTGCCGACATGAGGCCTCCCCTTCAATGTTTACTTGAGGCCTCCCCTTACCCTCCGCCCCACCTGCACAGTCAAGTCAATAGCTGCCAGCTGCGATAGGTCCAGCTGCGGCGACACCGACCCATGGTTCCCGATCACTGAGGGGCAAGTCCTGTACAAATGACGTGCCGCACCGCCAAGCCTCGCCAACAGCGCTGGATCCGCGGAGTCGTTGCTGACGGGCGCGACGCCGCCGTACGGCAACACGGACGAGCAGGACGACGCGGATGCGGTTACCGGGTAACCCGCGGGGGGTTCGGGAGGCGTGGATGCAGCGCTGCCGCCGCTCGCGGCCGCCGCCGCCGCCGCAATGGCTTCACTTCCCGATGCTGCGGGTGCCGCAGTACCCCCACTGCCGCCACTACAACCCTCGCCAACCCAATGACAGCCCGGTGCCGCGTTAGACGACGGCTGTGCCGCATGGTCCTGCTTCTGCTTGTGGTGCTGCTGTTGTAGGCGCATGTACTGCTGATGGTGATGGGAAAGGGTTTCCCTGCTTGCAGCAGCTGCGGTGACGCTGTCGCGAAGGCCTGGTGCCGGCGGCGCCGCCAGCGGCGTCGGCGCTGCCGGTACACGCGCCGCCGGGGTCACCGGCGCCAGGCAGGCACACACCTCCATCAGCGCCCTCAGCACGTCCTCCTCACAATCGGACGGTGGGACCACGTATACGACAAGCGCCGGCGGCCCGACATCCGGCAGATCCCCGGGCCCTATGCTGGCACTACTGCCGCCGCCGGCAGCAGCAGACCCCAACCCAACCCCCTTACACCCTGCAACCGCAGCCGCTGCAGGGCCCAAGTCCTGATGTTGTTGTTGCTGCTGCTGTTGTGACAGTGGCGGCGACATAGATGGTTGTAGCAGCAGATGGCGTTGCAACTGGCGACTCACGTGCCGTAGGTTTCGCCAGTAGTGGCACAGAGGCACCGGAGCTCGCGCCGCCGCTGCTGCTGCTGTCCCCCACGGCCCCGCCCCACAAGCCGCAGCACCACCCTTGGCAGCTGGGGCGGCTGTGCAAGCAGCCATCCCTGGCCGGTAGGAAGGCTCGTCGGGTGTCCAAGCGGGCTCTGAAGCTGCCGACGCCAGGGCGTGGTTGCTCCGAAACCCAAGTATGGCACTACGAACTACGCTGGGGTCGGGCCGTCGCGCAAGCGGATGCCAACTGAATGGCGCGGTCGCCGCCGCCGCTGTTGCGTCGGCGGCGGTGGCGCCGTCTGCCGTCGCTGCCGCTTGGGGCGGCCCGGGCCCGGGGTCTAGCGGCACGGGGATGACCCCGTCTATGGAGTGCAGGTGCGCCGGGGTACGCCCCGGCGTGTGCGTCCCCAAGCGCATTGCCAAGAAGGTCGCGGATACGTCCTGCACGGCGAGTATTGTTACAATGCGACCCGTGTGTCTGAGAGCTAGGGGTGTGAACAGGGCGAACGACGGCGACTTGACGTGATATTGCAAACCGCTGCTGGCCTGCGGATGATGATTTGGCACACGTGCTGGCGGAAGCATTCTACCTCTCACCTTTTTCCTATTTCTCGGGTGCGGGACGTGGCTATGAGGCGGGTTACTCTGCAGCCACAGGTCAACCACCTCGCCTTTTCTCTCCTCGCTGGCACGGTACTCCCTCTTCTCCACAGTCCCCACCTGCCCCGGCTTCCAACCCTCAGCAAGCCAGCCTGCCACCCCCACCTGCGTCACACCGCCTCACCCGTATGAACATCCTCGCTGCCGAGGAATGCTGCTCCCCGCATACCACATAGTACTGCGCCGCCTTGGGAGGCCCACAAGGCTCCAGGGAGACCTGCAGGTATTGCAACAGCCGTGCAAAACGACCATGGCCGCATTCGCCGCAGCTTGGAATTCCGTCCTTTTTTTACTGCTGGACGCTGCCGTCTCATCCAAGCTGAACATAATAAAACACTGTTTGACCCCAGCTTCCCCCAGATCCTTCTTCAAACCCTTTTTCCCAGGCGGAAGGTAGTCCAGGGAAAGCGTACCTTGTCCCAGCAGGACAGCACCGCCGGCTGCGCCACAAGCCAGTCCCCCTGAAATAGGGATCACGTTGAGTCGAATTTGTGTTGGACACACAAGAGTGGGCGGTGAGGAGGCGAGGGATAGTTCGAAGACCAACAACACCGCAACAACAAACACAGAAGGAACCACCCGCACCAACGGCCGGGGACAGAAGTTAACACTGTCTCCGTGCGGAAGCTGGGCTGGTAGGAACGGCGGACCGTACTGCGCCACGTGCACGCAACGGTCTGCGAGGCCCGCCGTATCGCTAGCGGGCTGCGGACGGCCCCGTGTGCCTGTGAGCTATGTAAACGGGTAGCACGCACTTCTTCCTGGCCCCGTTTTTCTACCGAAACCCAGATGCGTACCAGTCCCAATATGGTAAAGATGGCAACATAGCACCTGCTGCCGTCCCGGTGTCAGCGTAGGAGCCCACAGTAGGTTCATAGCAAACCTCCAGACAGAAACCCTTAACCACAGGCCTGAGAAGGTTGGGAGAGTGCCTCCCAGACTCCATCCCGCGCCCCTGCGCACACCCTGGACTCTTAACTACCGCATGCCTTTCAGCCAGCGGCGTCCTGTGTTCCCAGCCCGCAGCAGAACCTGGGAGCTGCTCTTTCCCACCTCGAATCCCACGAGCGCCGCTGGGGCCCCCATAGCCGTTGCCTCCAGCTGCGGTAGCGGTCCTCTGCCACTCGCTGCTGCTGCCATGGCCATGGCCGGGGCCGGGGCTGGGGCCGCACGAAGAGGTGGCGACGCCGTCGCCGCCTCAGGCACGGGGAGCCGGCGCCAACCCTGAGCTTGGCCCAGGCTGCCATGGGCGCCTCCTGTGTGCCAGAGGCATGCCCCCCGTCCATATGTGACAAAGGGAATAGTGCGGGGGCATAGATTCGAGTTTGGGTCGAAAGCTGCAGCACGTGGAACCAAGGGTAACGGTGTACGACCGGGGCTGCGCATCGCCACGCGTTCGAGCTTAGCGCCAAGCACCACGCCTACATACACCCTGGATTTCGTCAGGTTTGCATCTCCTCCCACCTTACCGGCAAATTGCCCGGCCCATCCCACTGGTGCCATGCGCAACGCATACGTGTTCAACCCACCCTGCTGACAGCCGCTGCCCACAGCTGCCACGCGGCCGCATAGCTCCGCCAGCAGCTGTATGAACTGAAAGCTGGTCGAAGCTTGGGCTGCCGTGATGTTGACCTGGGCTTCCTCAGAGATGGCCCGCAGCAGCGCGCTGCCGGGCACGTCCGCCACCGTGCCTAAAGCCGGACTACTGACGCGCAGATTGACGTCGGTAGGATACAACGCCTGCTGCTTTATGAGGTCGACTAGCGCCGCCTCCGGCCAAGCAGACCGCACCCAAGCATATGGCGGGACGGGCGGCGGGTAGAGGACTTGATGGGGAACCGAAGCTGATGCCGCTGGCTCGGGCGCAGGGGAGGGCGCAACTGCGATGCATCCAGCTGGAGCTGTTTCTACTTGTCCAGATTCCGTTGGCTTTGTTGGCACTGCTGCGCTTGCCGCACGGTCTCCGTTCTGGGGGACTGCACCATCGCTGACCAAGTGTGACAGGCGCTGTCGTAAGGAAGTTTCTGCAACAGGGGCATAAGCTGTATTTGCTACTGTGTTGCTTGACCACTCGGGCGCAACCAACACCCTGGTGCGAGCCCGGTGCATTTGCTAGAAAGCAAGTATGCAAAAGTGCTTTGACGTCATGACAGACTAAGTTTGTTATATTTTAAGGTTATCGCATTTTGCTTCTAATAAACCGGCCGAGGGGTACTGAAGTTTTCAGGCAATCAGTCGTGAAATGACCCGACTCTCAAACGGGCGACAGAATGCAGAGCGGCTGCTGTTTTAATGAAACACAGTTGCTCTCCATAAGCAGTTTTTGATACTGCACACCAATACTTTTTAGCAATTAGGTTCGCGCCTTCGCTGTCGTTGGACAAGACGTCGGATCGAGCGGGAGCCTGATTGTGACGTTTCCAATAGCTCCAACAGGTGTTCATTGTACCTGGCGTTTGTGGGACCCGATAATGCGGGGCGGCACCGGGGACACGGCTGCGCAGCGCGATCTGAAGGCGGGATGGAGCGGCCCCGTGCCCGACATAGTGTTTCCTAACCCTTCCTTTGCGAGGGGATTGTCGATAATCTAACTAAAAATTGCAGTTGATAGGCAGTCGGGCAGGCCAGGTCGCCTTCTGCGGGGCCCTAGTTAGCTTGAGACACCCCGTTCGGCAAACGCAAGCTGATACCAACCCGCACGCAGCCTCCCTCCTTCCGTGACTTACATGCGCAGGGATGGGAAGTCAAACTACCGGCATCGGACTACAAGCATTCATTAGCACCCCCTGCATTCTCTAACCACCCAGTCGCACCCCTTACTGTTTGTGTCCGCAACCCCGTGGACGCGCCGCAGGCGACATGGCCTCCGCAGCCGAAGCCCAGCTGGCTCGAGTCGATGAAGCAACCCTGGTGCGCGTGCGTCAACTCATGCACGCCGTACGGGTACCGTCGTACAGTGACAAGGTGTACAAGGACGAGTGTATGTTCACGTACGACTCTCCCGAGTCCCCTGGCGGACTGTACGTCAACCTCAGCACATTTCAGGTACAGGCGAACATCAACCCCACCCGACACCCAAGTCACGTAGCCAGTAACACCCAAACCTACACTGTCCAATCCATCAGGCGAACTGGGTCGATATTGCTCTAGCAATACCTCCCCGAAGTTGTGCAGACCTGTCCGTCGTTCCCCGTGTTTCACGCCTCCCGCTTGGCGTCCTGCTTGCCTGCCCTGTTTTCCCCATCCCCTGGCTTATGCACATGTATGATTTCTGCTGGCTCTCTCTTGGAACTCCGCCGACTCTTCAATCCTATAGTAGTTTTCACGTAGACAGGGCTGCTGGGTCTTACTACAGCCAACGGGGCATCGTGAAAAGAGTCTTACACGATAAGGAGTATTTCTTCCATCGACTAAACGCAGTTTGCTGATCGTGTAAATCCCTGGTGCTGGTGCTGCTGGTGCTCGTGCGTATGAAATTTTGCGATGCAGGGCTTTGGTGAGGAGATGGTGGCCCTAGATCAGCAGCGCACCGGGGCCGGACTCTATCTGCACCTGCGCTACAAAAGGGTGCGAAGGGGCTGGTCGGGGGCGGGACGGGGACTCGGGGTGCGTACTCGGGTGCCGGGGATAGCAAACACAAGTCAGGGCCCAGCTCAGCTCAGCTCCCGCGGACGGAACTCATCCAGTTTGGACACCTCGTAAAAGCGGTTGAGGCTGAAAAAAAGTGAAAGGAGAAAACACCGAACCCGGATAAGGCCCACGGAGGAACGGCCTATTGAGGGGAAGGAGAAGCCCCGGAGGTAAGGAAGAAGCCCCGTCCTGTCCTGTCTGCCTGGCATACGCTCCTGGCTCGGTTCTGGTGGAGCATAAGGTTGCACTGCGCGGCCAAGCACGCCCCCCGCACAACGCAGCCCGTTGGCTTGTGCAGCTACCAAACCCCCCTTGGCTGTAGCCCTGGAACCCCTGTTCGCTTGGGCCAGGTAAACCTGGGCCCGTGTGAAGTTGGCTGAGTTTACATTCGCCGTTTCATGTTCGCGTTACATGGTTGGTTTCCAGGGGCATGGTCTCCCCGCTCCTCACCACATCCATTCATGAAACGGAGTATCATGTTCTCTCCCTCCGTCCCTTCCTATTCCCCGTGTTGCTACTGCTGCCACCGCTGCTGCTGCTGCTGCTGCTGCCAGGTTCCGTTGCCCAAGGCGGAGGTGGAGGCCGCCCGTGCTGCCGCTCAGGCCGCTGGTCAGCTGCTGCTCAATGCGCCTACTTTCCGACTGGACAAGCGGCAGTCGCTGGTGGTGATGGCACAGGGCGGGAAAGAGCGGCTGGAGGTGCCGTTGCCCTGCCCCGACCTCCCCGAGCGGGTGCTGCAGGTGGGGAGGAGAGGCGCGAGGGGGGAGGGGTTGGGGGAGAAGGTGAAAGTATAGCAGGCGGGTGGAGTTTCGGGAATGTTGGGGTTGGTAGGAAGAGATGGGGTTCAGTACCCGGGGGCTGTTGGGCTGAAGGCTGGTGATGCTGGATTTCGAGGTGCGCTACCACGGGGTGATATGACCGGCGGGCGAGGCAGCTGAGAGCACAGGCAGGTGCCCTGCCGCGGCCCCTCGCACTCTGCATCCTCTGTGCCATGCAACGCGTATTTTCCTATTAGACCTGGCTCTGCCTACCTGCCTGCCTACGTCCCGACCTTCCTACCGACCTGCCTGCCTGCGTCCCACCTAGCTGTCTTGCCCAAGTATTGAAAAACTCATTCGCTTTACCCTCCCTCCCTCCCACACCCGTGCCAGTCCATTGACGGCGTGCAGCGCCACGAGAGTGTGACCGCTGCGGATGCGGTGGCGGTGTTTGAGGAACCCCGCCGGGTTAGCAAGTACGCAGCGGGTTTGGAGCAGCTCAACACCGGCAGGAAGATCAGGTGCGCCGGTCTGTGCGTTAGGGTAGGAAAGGCAAGTCAACATCAATTGGCGGTAAGGCGGGGGCGCCTGCTTGGTAAGATAGGTCAGGTCTCATGGAGTGTGAGGCGGGAACGGTAGCGACATGGCGGGAGCATGGCGGCGGGTTTGGGCCGTTATTGTGCTGCTTGGTCGTAATTCGTGTGATTTGCATCGCGGCTTGAAGGATTATCTGAGGAGTCTTATTCTCCCCCCCCCCCCCGATGATCGGCCTCATAGCTGCATGCCCGGTTAGTTAATGGCCGGCCGAAGCCCAGTTCTCACTTTTTCGGGTTCTTTCTGATACCGTACTACGGGATCCCGAGTCCTCATCCTCCCACCGTGTCTGTTATGGCACTTGTCGGCATTTTCTATGTCCTCATCTGGTGATGCCCATTTATCCTTGCTACTCTTTTTCTCAAGCCCATCCTCGGGGCGCCCGCTGCGTCCGTGACCTCTTGTGTGCCACTCTCTTCGGCCATCCACATCCCCGATCGATCGCCCCCGCCTTGCAGCCCCAACCCCGCCGACTGGCGCTGCGACGAGACGGGCGCCAAAGAGAATCTCTGGCTCAACCTGTCCACTGGCTTCATCGGCTCCGGACGGAAGGTATGAGTTGGGCGGAATGGGCTTGGGCGGATGGGTTGTCTGTCTTTAAAATATTAACGTGTGCGATTAAGCCAATCAGCTGTGCGGTGGGCCTGCTCACTTGCTTACTCAACAACCCAATTCACTTGACACTTCGCCGTTGCGCCTCACCTACCCCGGCCCTTGCGCGGATGCTTTTTGGGACGTTAGTTGCCCGTCAATTGGCCCGTGTTGCTTCTTGCGTATAATCACACCCCCCGCGCACTGCGGCAGTTGTTGACACTCGTGTATTTTGCATCTGGCCTGATCTCTCCCTGGCCCTGCGCCCCCACCTCGCTCGTCGCACTCCACTCCACTTCAGAACTGGGACGGCAGTGGCGGCAACGGCGCTGCGTTGCGCCATTTCGAGGCCACCGGTCGCCGGTACCCCCTGGTGGTCAAGTTGGGCACCATCACGCCTCACTCGGCTGACGTGTACAGCTACGCACCCGACGAGGATGACATGGTCACCGACCCGCACCTGGCGCAACACCTGGCGTACTGGGGCATTGATATCATGCAGGTGAGGTGGATGCGGTTTGACTTTTTTGGTGTGAAGATGGGCAGGATGGAGGACGTGGGAGGACTTGGTGGTAGAGAATATGAACCAATATTGTGTTGTTCTTTGCTGTTGCTGTCAGTTTGCTGGCACTGATGGCACTGCTGTCAGGTTATGTCCTTGCCTTCGGAGCTGCTTACGATCCCGCTGCTGCTACTGTTGTTGTTGCTGCTGCTGATGTTGTTGTTGTTATTGCCATCATCTCATGCCTGTCTTGCCTCAGATGGAGAAGACCGAGAAGACAATGTCGGAGCTGCAAGCTGACCTGAACACCAACTACGAGTTCAGCCGCATCACAGAGGCGGGCGCGGAGCTGCAGCCGCTGTCGGGACCGCGACTGACAGGCCTTATCAACTTGGGTAATTCGTGCTACATGAACAGCGTGCTGCAGGTGTGCATAAGGGGGGGAAAGGGATGTAAAGCGGTCGTGGGGTGATGGGGTGCCCGTTTCCCCGGGTTTGTCGCCTCCGTGTAATGTTTTGTCTTTTTTGGCGTCCATCGCACAGACAAGGAGACCTTCGAACTTTTGGATTTTGGACGATTAGTATGTAGTTGAGGAAAAGGCGATTGCTACATATTTCGTTGTTATGTGTTATGTCTCCAAATATTTTTAGCCTCTTCTTCGCTTATCTTGCATTTCTCGCGCCAATGCGGATTTCCACACGAAAATCATGCGCTTTGTCTTCCAACCGTGTTTCGCCCGCCTGTTGTTCTCATCCGTACGCGTCCCCGCCACGGCCAGTTGCTGTTCACGCTGCCGGAGGTGGCGGCTCGGTACGCGGGGGCCGCCCAGAGGATCCTTTCCTCCGCACCCTCCGACCCCGCCTCTGACTTGCCCACCCAGCTGGCGAAGTTGGGAGTGGCGCTGGTGCAGGGCCGCACCGGGCACTGCATGGATCCGCAGCCGCAAGCGACGACGACGCAGCACCCGGAGGTGGCCGCAGCGGCCGGCGATGGAGAGGCAGCTATGGAGGTGGATAGCGGTAGGTTTATGGCGCGAATTGTGTGCCCGGCGGGAGCGGCTGCAGGAAAGCCTGGTGCATTGTGGTGGTGGATGACCGAAAAGTGCTGAGCGATAACGCGCGAGTGTGTTCGGTCGCGGACAGGTTGTGCGTAGCGATGAGCTTCTTAGGCCGGGACTTGGACTTCCGACCTGACTGGTGCACTACCGGCTATGACAGCAAGTGTCTGGACCTCATCACTCTTCTCCCCCTGACCCTGACCCTGACCCTGACCCTGACCTGACCCTGACCCTGACCCTGACCCTGACCCTGACCCTGACCCTGACCCTGACCCTGACCCTGACCCTGACCCTGACCCTGACCCTGACCCTGACCCTGACCCTGACCCTGACCCTGACCCTGACCCTGACCCTGACCCTGACCCTGACCCTGACCCTGACCCTGACCCTGACCCTGACCCTGACCCTGACCCTGACCCTGACCCTGACCCTGACCCTGACCCTGACCCTGACCCTGACCCTGACCCCGACCCTGACCCCGACCCCGACCCCGACCCTGACCCCGACCCCGACCCCGACCCCGACCCCGACCCTGACCCTGACCCTGACCCCGACCCCGACCCCGACCCCGACCCTGACCCTGACCCTGACCCTGACCCGACTCGCACACGCGCTTCCCTAGCACTCGCTCAATCGCATCTACACCTACTTGTTGCTCCGTCTTTTCCTTTCTCTACCTCTACCGCTACCTCTACCTTCATACCACCACACGTCACTCATATCCCCTTCCAGCTTTTCCGTGACCACCATCCATGGCCTCCTCCATCTGCGCTCTTCCTTCTCATCTGCCGCCGCTGCCGCCTGTCGCGGCCCGCTGTCGCTGTGCTGCCTGTCGCCGCCGCTCCCGTAAAAGAGTCCGAGCTGGTGCCACTGCCCGACGACGAGCGGTGTCATGCGGTGCGCCCGCTGGCCTTCAAGTCGGTGGTGGGTCGGGGTCATCCGGAATTTTCTACAGGCCGACAGCAGGATGCGGCCGAGTACTTCACACACCTCATGGAACTGGTAGGTGGGAGACCTACCTCCGCCCCGCCGCCTAGGGGAGGCTGAAAGGCCGGGAATACTAGTAGAGAGAGAACCAAAAGTCCTGAAGCCCAGTCCTGCACGCCAACCCCGGGTTGGGGATCCGGCAACTGGGGAGTTACTGGTCACGTGCTACCGCTTGCGGTTGTAGCTTGAGCAGAGAAATCTTAAGTTTGGTTGTTTGTTGTGGCCTGTATGGAAAGGAGGGAGTCCGCCTCCGCAGGACTCCGGAGAGAGAGATGGAGGCCCCGACGTGAATGTAGAAGAAGGAGCGGAGGCCACATGCGTTTTGGCCGCCGCTCCTCTCTCTTTCCTCCGTTCTCTGCCCCAGCCTCATGAGCCGCTGGTTAGCTTCCCTTCTCCCTTTCCGCTAACCCACCATCATCGCCTTCATCGCCTTTATCGCCTTTATCGTCTTAGGTATCCCGAGCGGAGCACGCCCAGGGGGAGCGACTGGGCGTCACCTCGGTTGCAGCGGCCGGCAGTGGCGGCGCCGCTGCGGGCTCCGGCGCGCTTCCTCTTCCCGCCTGCTTCCGCCTGGGCTTGGAGGACCGGCTCCAGTGCAGTGAGAGCGGCGCAGTGAGCTACCGCAGCACACCCACCTCCCTGGTCATGTTGCAGGTGGAAAGAAGACGGCGGCGGATAGGGGGGCCGGTGGATGGTTTGGGTGGGCGGGTGGAGGCGACGGAAATGTGAAAGAGTCAGCGGCTTAGCGTAGCGGGCGCTTGCGGGTGGATGATATGTTATGTGATGGAAGAAGCACGCTCACTTGGGGTGAACTGCCGACAGACACGTCCAAAGCACCTAGCTTTATTACTTTTGGTGCTCCCTGAGAATACTTACCTTTTCCAATTGAAATACCAGATACATCTACAAACTGATATATATATATTATTATATATCATTATATTATATTATTATATATATTATTATATATATTATTATTACTATTTATATATATATATATATATATATTTATATTTATTTATATTTATATATATACTCATATCTATACCAAGATGGTTTTCAGGACGAACAACTGCTGCCGTAGGCAGGAGCTCAAAGCGGTAATGCAGCGTTGGTGGAGGGAGGGGCTGTTGGGCTGGCGGCTGAGGTCGGGGCTGGCGGGGCGGTGTCTCATCTTCTCGTTGGCGGTCTTGTCCCTCGCTGTGACCTCAATGTGCGTGTTGTGTGTATGTATGTGCGCGCAGGTGCCCCTGGAAGCGGCTGTGAACTCTGAGGCGGTGGCGGAATACCGTGACCGACAGGCCAAGCGGCAGAGACTGAAGGAGCAGCAGGCGCAGGTAGGGTAGGGTAGGGTAGGTAGGGTTTAGAGTAGATGGGCGATAGGGAAGGTTAACGTAGGGTAGGGTAGGTATGGTGGCCTTCTGCTTGTGGGAGAGTATTTGGGCGTTCGGAGAGGAAGGAAGCTAGGTCCCGTCGATGCTCCATTCAGGAGTATCCCCTTGCTTCACTCCATCTCTTCAGTGGCTTTATTATCCACTTGTTCGGGCGGGCCGAGTTTCATCCAGGTCAATGATACGAATATCCTTACTGGCGGCTTGCGAGGAACGCTTGCAATCCTCACCGCCATGCCTTGCTGCTGCCGCTGCTGCTGCCGCTGCTACTGCCGCTGCTACCGCCGCTGCTACTGCTGCTGCTACTGCTGCTGCACTCTTGTCATCGTCACGATTGTCTCTATGTTGTCGTTATTCCCCCCCCCCCCGGTGGCCAAACCCGCCCTGCTTTACCAGGCGTACATTGGTGCTGCGCCCGAGGGCGGCGAGGCGGCAGCAGCCGATGGCAGCGGCGGTGCCGTCGCCACCGCCGGCGGTGATGCTGCCGTCGGCAAGGCCGGCGCGCCCCAGGTGTCGGGTCCCGGCAGCGGCGGTCTGGTGGTGGTTGCGGATGCGGCGGAGGAGGCGGTGCTGCCCCGGGTGCCCTTCGATGCCTGCCTGCAGCGCTTCAGCGGCACGGAGGTACGTGTGACCACATGAGCATGAGGCTGCGTGCTGACGTGCGTGTGAAGTGTGCGAATGTGTGCGAATGTGTGTGTGTGTATACTGCCTGCCGGGACAGGCGAAGGTGCGTGTATCGACAGTAGCACCTCGACTGGTTCCATTCTGTGTCGTCCGTATGTCCCCCACATGCCCACAGCTCCCCCGTCCAACAATCCCCCCGAAGTTGTGGCCCAGTGGTTACCCGTCTTACCTCCGTAAGGTGCTCTTACCCACTCCAGGTGTCAGGGCTCTTGGATCCTTCGGTGTAGTCTGTGTCCCTGCCTGCGTCCCGTGATGATCCGTTCAACTCTCTGTCTTTGTGGCCGCCACCTCAAGTGCTGAACACCCCCGGTTCTCTCCCCCATCACGCGCACCCGCCGCATGCACCTCGGCAGTTGGTGGACGACTACCGTAGCGCCGCGCTGGGAGGCAAGCGCACCACCGCCACCAAGCGCACCCGGTTCGCCAGCTTCCCGCCGTACCTGCTGGTGCAGATCAACAGGTGCGCGCGTCCTGGTGGGGCCGGCGCGGGGGGAGCAGGCAGTGCAGGCAGTGCCCGCCTCCCCTCTAACGTTCAAGCCACACAGCTGCGGGGTGTATGCCGCCGCACACGTATACACGTGCTATGTGTGGGGTGACGGGGGAGGGAAGGGAGGGGAGCTTGGGAAGTTGGAATGCCACGGCTGGGGGCTGCGCTTTTACTCACAGTCGACAGCCCAGCTCCTGGTATGGGAGCTTAACCGGTATCAGTTGGTGCGTTGGACGGCAATGTCGCCACCTCCACCACCACCATCACCACCATCACCACTATCCCTATTCCCGTGGCCTGCAGATACTTTCAGGATACGGATTGGACGCTAAAGAAGATGGAGGTGCTGGTGGACGTGCCCGACCACCTGGACCTGGAGCCTCTGCGGGCCACTGGGCCCCATCCCGGAGAGCGCATGCAGCCTGCGGAGCCGGAAGAACAGCAACAACAGCAGCAACAACAGCACGTCGCCGTCGCCGTGAATCAAGGCGGCGGTGGGGCCGCGGCGCAGCAGCCGCAGCCGCAGCCGGACGAGGCGCTGGTTTCGGCGCTGGTGGACATGGGTTTCGAAGCCAACGCCTGCCGGCGCGCGGCTGTGGCTGTTTCCAACAGCGGCGCGGAGGCGGCCATGGAGTGGCTCCTGATCCACTTGGACGACCCCGATATCAACGACCCGCTGCCGGGTGAGGGGCGAGCGGGTTTGGGGAATTTGGGTGGTGCTTCTACCAGTGGGGCGGGGGCTGGTGGGTAGGGGGGTAGGCTTGGGGGTCTTTGTGGGATTGGCATTAACTGGACTGGACTGGAGGTGGATGTGAGAGGTGCGATAAGAACTTGCGATTGACGGGCCAGGGGGCCCCGTGGGGTGAGTGACCGAAAGAGGCAGGACAGGGCAAACCGGGAGATAGGGGGTCGCAGTGGAGTGAAAATGACCCCCGACGTGATTCGTTGCGGGGGGAGAAAGGGAGGGAAATGCGGCATCCGACTCCCTCCCATTCCCCTAAGTTCCTAGAGGGAGCCCTTTTCACGCAGAAAGCTGCTTGCTGTATAGATGTAAGATGTAAGAGCTGTTTCCGACTGCTACCCGTAGAGCCGACGCAAGCTGGTGGCGCTGGTGGCGGTGCCCCGGCAGCGGCCCCCGCGGACCCGGAGAAGACTTCGCAGCTGACGGCGATGGGCTTCTCAGAAACACACGCTGCGGCGGCGCTGCAGGTGTGTGCAACCCGTTGGGGGGTTGTGGGGGGAGATGAAATGCTTGTTGTCGGTGTTTGTTGTGCTTGCGGAGGTGTATCTGCACCTTAAAAAATGGAGAGCATCGCATGTGATCGTGTGGAGGGTGACGCGGACTAGGAAGGAAATACATGTAGTGGGGCGGCTCCTCGTCGTCGTCGTTGAGCAACGAGAGCACATGACTAGGCAGGAGACGCAGTGTGGACTGGGAATCCAGCGTCAATTTCATCCAGGAGTACACGCGTGTAAATGTTATTCACGATTCTATCAGTTATCGATCGAACAGATTCACGTTTTGTACGGCGCAGGCCTGCAATGGCTCCCTGGAGCGTGCTGCTGACTGGCTGTTCAACCACATGGACGATCTGGATGCAGCAGTTGCGAAGGTACAGCATGTGCAGTCCATGTCTCTGGGCCATTGGTACGCTGCATGTCTGAAATATTGTTGTCGTAGTACACTGAGGTTGCAACTGATCCACCCTGGAGTCTATCCCTGGAGGCACCCGGATTTGGTTCTCTTGATCTCCATCTGACTGTATGTGTATATTCGTGCCCTGCGAAGTGGTGTCCTGGCATGTGTCCGCGCGATGATGGCATGTGTTTAATGTGATGGTCAATGTGTGCGACTGCGGCGTGTTGAGTACAATTGAGTTCCGTTTTGTCGTCCAACTTGACTGTCCGGCGGCGTTTTCAATACGTGGTGGTATGAGCGATTCCCTGTGACGCGTGTCGTGCACAGGTGCTTTCCGCTGGCGGCAGCGGCGGCGACGGTGGCGGCGGCACCGCGGCCCCACCGACTGCGACAGCGGCCGCAGCGCCCAGCGGCGGCTCTTCCCCCGCCGGCCAGCTGCTTGACGGTCCGGGCCGCTACGAGCTGGTGGGCTTCATCTCTCATATGGGCTCCAACCTGGCGTGTGGTCACTACGTAGCTCACATCAAGAAGGACGGCAGGTGGGGGGGGTGATTTGTGTGATGTGCGTGTGTGCGACGCCTGCCTCGGTGCGGCGCAAGGTTTAGGATCCAAGGATAAAAAAATTCAAGAAGATGCGCATCCGGACCTAGAACGAGCGGAAGATAATGTGTTGACCAGCGGGTCGAGGATGCCTTCCATGTAGCTGCTTGAGTCATACGGAGCGAACACTTGGCCTGTGCCGCAAACCGCCTTGCCCACGCACCGACGCGCTTACGAGTGTGCCCAACCGCATTAATGCACAGGTGGGTCATTTTCAACGATGAGAAGGTCGCGGTTTCGGAGAAACCCCCGCGCGACCTGGGCTACCTGTACCTCTTCAGGCGGATTGAGCAGTAGCATCTGCGCTTAGCATGTGCTACAGCAGAGATAGCAGCAGCGGTTGCCAGGAACAGCTGGCGGTGGGAGCTTGCGCTCGGAGGCTGAGGGATAACAATGCCCTCCCTGCGGCCAGAGATCCTGATAGGGAAGAGAGGAATTATACATAGTGACAACATGTCGGTGGCAGGCTTTAGCAGGCAGGGATGTTTGTAGTGTTGCGTTTGCTGGTGTAAGGTGTAGTAGCTGCTGCCGCAGGCGTTGGAAGTGGCGATGACGATCCTGCGCCCAGGTTTTCAAAGGAGATATGACGCGGCGGGTGCGCTAGATGCGGGGTAATCGCGGCGGACGACGCCGCCGTGTAGTCATGATGCACGGGGGCAAAAGAGTGCAAACACTTATGGTATGCGGATAGGTGGGGTGGCATATGCGTGTGGGAGGATACACGGGATAAAACAAATGAAATGGTGGTGGTGGTGCGCGAACATGCGAACCAGGTTCACGACAGAAGTTCCTCATATGTCTCAAGGGAGTCTCACTTGTTTCTTTAACGGCCTTTAACCTCCAGTATAGTCGTGTTTGCCGTAGTCAGGTACACGGACACTATGCAGTGATGTGGGGATAGGTGACCCCATATTCTTGCATGGATAGCAGGCAGGCGGACACGAACGCGAGCATAAAAAAATAACGACGTTTCCAGTATTGGTTCTGGTAGGCCGTGCTCTTCGCCCTGGGCATGGCAGTCAGCCTGCGACTATCTTCACATGCTACGGCGTGGGGAAGGAACCGACCTTGCAAAGGACAGCAGTGGGGTAGCTCACCGCTGCGCTTAAGACATGCACCACCACCACCACCACTGCACCAAGCAGAGCAGTTAGCCAGGTGTACACACACCATAACAGTCAAACGCCAGCAGCAACAACGGCGTCAATTGTACCAAGCCCATAGCTGAGCTCGTGCGGAAGTAGACGGTTCGGTGGGATCCTGCCGGGCAGGTTCATATCCATGCAATGCCAACCCAAATCTATATCCCTTGCACAAAGTCCGAGCACAAAGTGTACCAGGGTGTTTGGATATGATCCATCCAGGCAACCACAGCCAAACAGGTAGGCCCGACCCCAAGCCCCAATTCGTTCACGCAGCAACACATGGCGCCATGCAGCAGTATTCCTACAGCCACTCGCACCAATTGAAGCACTGAACTTCCCTTTCCCTATACTAACCTCCATCCGCCCCTAAAACACCTCACCTACCACCGCGACACCCGGCCCATCCCCGACGGTCCCCGCCGAACCCCACACCGCCTACTTCCCACCGAGCTTCAGCCACTTTGGTACCTTCGCACCGCCGCTGCCGCTGCCACCACCCGCTGCGCCGCCGCTGGCAGGGGTCCCCGCCCGGGCCGCCGCCGTCTCCGGCCCCTCCCTGTGTAGCCCCTGCCGCTTGCCCTCTCCCCCTTGCTGCCCCTGCTGCGACTGTGACTGGTGCTGTAAGGGGCGGTTCCTACCGTGGAACGCCGCCAACCCGGGCCCTATGTGTGTCCGCATCTTGACAGCCACCTCGGGCCGTAACACCGGACTGCTCCCCGCCGCATAGCCAGACGCAGCGGCTACGAGAGGCAGTGGGGAAAACAGCAAAGGAGATCCATGATGTAAACTAGGGGGCGCGAGGAAACTGATACAGAGAACGGGACACGTCCGGACGGTACGAGATGATAGATGTAAAACTTGCAGAAACGCAGGAACTTGCAAAGGGGCTTAAAGCAGGGCACCCGCAGTCATGCGTCTCCAAAACCGAAAAGAACTGGACAGTAACTCGTCATCTCCGTCTCTCCTTGTATCCCCAAGCCCGAATCCGCAGCCTGTCACTCGCTCGCGGCCCCCGCCCTAACCCCGCTCTCACCCTTCTTCTCATCTAGCCCCACGTACACGTGCGCCGCGGGAACCAAACCCACGTGGTACAACGAGTGCTGGTCCTGGTCGGTGCGGAGGACCTGGGGCACACGGGGAGGTGCGCAGGAAGGCAAGGATGACGGCCGCCGCCTCAGATGTACCAAATGAGCTACCAAGTAAGGGCTGGAGGAAAGGTATACATGATTGCGCAACGCACCTGGCGCGGCGGGGTGGTGTAGAGGTAGGCTGCTGCTGCTGCAGAGGGCTGCAGCGCACTCACGACGGCGGAGCGCAACGCGCCCACCGTCTCCGTCGCGGCGAAGATCAACTGCGGCAACAGCGCAGCAGAGTCGGAAGCAGCAGCATTAGGGAAGGGAATGCGAAGGGAAAACCTTTAAATAAATCCCAGGAATTACGCACGAAAATGCAAACCACCGCGTGCCGAGGTCCAGACGGGGGAAAAAGGGAATGGGGAGGACTGGGGAAAAGAGGAATACAGGAGACCACTGGCGACGAAGGACATCCATATCATATACGTTAACAGGCCTGCCGACGCACAAGCGGCACAAGCGGCACTGCCCCTATAATGCCGTACCTGCAGTATAGGGCCCCCCGGCAGATGCACCCGAATGGCCACGTGGCTGTACGACGCCGCCTTGGCCCGCTCTTCCGCGTCTCGGGCGGCTCGAGTACGGAAGCCCCCCGCCTCCTCCTGCTCCAACATTCCCCCCGGGGAGGAGGTTGACAGGCAGGGGAGCACAAACCGACAGACACGGCAACGGAAGCCTTAGCTAAGACCCCCAAACAGGAAGGATACGACAACGCGCGTAGGGGGTTAGCGGCAGGAAGAAATATCCGGGGCAAGGGCACACATCTCGACCTCACCGCACGAAAAACGAAAGCTTAACCCCCAAATGGGGCAAAGCGTGGTTTCGGGCGGCCTTGCGGGGTGTCGATGCGGTGCGGTAAGAAAGAGAGGAAGAGAAAAGACATCCGAAGCCGCTTGCCCAACGTCATGCACGTCCGTACGAATATAATTCACCGGTGCCGGAATGGAATGCACGGGTGTGGATGCATCCAGGTACACGAGTTCCGCGGGCGGTGAGAGGATTCCGAAATGGGTTGGCGGCCCGGCCACGATCTACAGAGAGTGCAACAGGAGCGAGAGACCCTCGACTTCGTTCGGGCCAAGTTCCAACGACCGCCAGCTGTCCCTCCCCGCCCGCTTTGCGGGTCGGTAGTTGTTTACCAACTGTCGCAGCGCATCCAATCTCATAAACGCTCCCCACTCATGCAACACAGCTCACTTGTATCCTCCTGACTTGGCTCGACCTCATCATCGCCGCCAGATCCTCCTGGGTTACCTCGTAGAAGTCATCTCCCTCATCACCGCCGCCACCACCACCAGCACCACCGCCAGCACTGGCGCTAGAGGCCTCCCCTCTGGAAGCGCCGGCTGACCTGTCATGGGCCCTCCCACGCGTGTATGTTTGTGTGTGACCGTGTGAGCGTTAGCAGCAACAGCAGCAGCAACAGCTCCGGGGGGGGTCTGTCCGTCTGTCCGGGCGTCCGTCTGTTCTGGTCTTGGTCCTGTCTAAAACATCAAGCCGGAGTCTTTGCGGATTTTCGGTTCGTGGGTAGCTTAGCTGGGCTCCTTACTGGGGTCAAGCTTCCAGCCCCCCCGGCTTAGCAGTGTGTGCCCCCTGCATCACGGTACGACACTCCCCCTTACACCTTTTCCCCCCACCACCACTCACTGGTCAGTAAATTTCCCTTAGCACCCTTAATCTTCTCCTGGACTACCCGTCTATCTTTTGTATCTGCTGCATTCGCCAGTGGTTTGTCTTCTCCCCCCCACTCCCACACCGACACTGTCTCTGGCCTCTCCTTCGGCGTGAGTCCCCTGCCACTCCCACTCCCACTTCCAACGCGCTTCGTGCGCAACCCTTTCGCTTGCATAACACGCTTGCACAGCAGCGCTGTCCTACCATACATAAAAAGGCCCCGCATAAACCACCCGCCGAAAGCGACCCGCGGGTCTGGCATCCATCCATCCATCCATCATCCCGCAATCGCACCTGCTTGCCGCCGCCATCTCCTCCAGAGCCGCTTCCAGAGCCTCCCGGCTGAACAACGCCGAGGGGCGACCCAGACCCAAATGGTCGGCCTCATCTTCATCCTCATCCTTGTCGCCCGTGCCATCATGTTGATCACCAGCGCTAGGCCCGCCGCTGCCGTCACCCCCTGCACCATTGCAACCAGGAGGTACTACCGCTGCAGCCGCCGCCGTACCCGAGTTCGTATCCTCATCCATGGGCTCCGCCTCTACTGCCGGTGCCGCCGTCGGCTCTAATATCAGCCCGGGAGCACCTTGGCTGGACGGGGCCCCGCGCGCTGCAGCGGCGGCAGGGGACGCCGAGCTCATGTTGTCCACATCATCCGCGGTAGGATGAGGAGGCGGTGACGCAGCAGACTCGGCAGTATCCTTGGTAGCTACTGCTGATGCTAATGGAGCAATTCCCGATGGTACAGCCGTAGCCGCAGTGGCAGGTCCAGCAGCTGGCGCTGGCGGTAACGCTTTGGGCGGTGGTGGAGCTGGCTGCGCTAATTGTGCTCCTGCTCCTGCTCCTGCTGCTGCTGCTGCTGCTGGTGGTTCTTTCACGCCGGCGGGTGCAGGTTGAACGGATGTCGGGAGCTGAGTGTCGGCGGCTAGTACAGTACTTGGCGCTGCCGCCGCTGCACCGGATGCGGATGGCAGCTGTGGCGACGGCGATGGCGACGGCGATGGCTGCGGCGGTGTGACGGCACTGACCGGAGCAGCTGCGGCAGCTGTGGCTGCCACGCTGCTGGGACCGGCAGGCGCTGCAACGCCAACGCCAACGCACGGAACAAGAAGCGTGTGATGAGAGATGCAAGGGGCCTGCTCATTTCTTTGGGTGGGGAACCGTTGGCGTGCGTTTGCCGCAGGTCAGGGGCGCATTCTGGGGTCGACAGCACATCCTGGCAGGTCCTGGCGGTTTAGATGTAAGGGTAGAAGCTCCAGATCACAGACCTACGGAGCACGGGTGGTCATCCTCATACCTGGCTTATCGTACAGCAGCATGAGGTTGCTGCCATTGGGAATGTTGGCGAGTCGGAATGGGCATGACAGGTCGGTCAATGGCTTTTTGTTGAATAGAAGGGTAGCACGAGAGTGGTCCAAGGGGGGCTTCATTTTCGCGCAGGCCTCTGCCAGCAATGAGGAGAGAGGGGCCATGGCGGTGGCCTTGACCACGTGGCGTTGGACTGCAGGTGAGGGGAAAGAAGGGAGGGGAAAATTGGGTTGGGGGAGGATGGAGAACGAGCGCTTGGTTTATTTTGGTTGTCATGTCAGTGTGGTTGGGTGCGGTTGGGTGTGGGTTTGTGGGGTCAGGGGGCCAACGGAGCAAGAGGGTTTGGACAAAAGGTGAAACAAGTGCTTGTGAAATTTGGGGAGATGAAGGTGAAATTTGGAGGCAGCTCCAGCAGATGGGACTGGCCATGTCGTGACTGGGATTGGCAGCTGGACTCGTCGTTTGTCCTTCCAGTGGTGCTCATGGGCAATGGTGAAGCATGTGTCGGAAATTGGCAGTTGACGTGGGAAAGGACAGCAGAGTGCGCCTGGATCCATAAAGGAACCATAATTTCGGTTGCTCGATAAGAGCCACGCCACGGCTCTCCCCAACGGCCTTTTTCCTATCAGCATGAATTAGATCCGGCGCAAGAAGAGTTTCAAAACCCGCCGTTTTCGTTCCACCACAAAGACTGCATAAAATGATTCATCCCAGCGGCCTCTTAAGCTAGCAGCGTACCAGGTGGCCCTTCATATGTGATGCTCACACTTGACATGACGGAATTAACCCTAATTCCCGTCCTAGATGGCTTTGCAGAGCGTTTGAGCCTTGCTTAGAAAGATCGGCATAACTGAAATCGGCTATTGGTATGGGTCCTCCGTGTGTTTCCAAATCTAGCGAATTGACGTAAGGGTCCTTGTCGAGGATCCGAAACCATTGGGTTCCATAAGGAGAAGGTTATATGACATCGCCAATACTTGAATCGAAATGTGCTGTTAACAATGTTTTTTTTTGTCGCCTTAACTGCAGCGCTGTGCCTTGCCTTTGCCGGGCTCACGTTGCAGCTGCTTGGCATCATACCACAAACGTCTGTGACACATAGAAAAAACCTCGTCACTTCAGACACCTTGCTGAACTCAGGAAAAGCTGCAAGGTCAGAGAAACATAAGTGACACTCCTTGTCCATCACGCAGCTCCTTAAATGCCATTAACATCTCACCTTTCGCAGGGATGGTGTAAGCTCTAGCTCTATTTCCCAGAGTGCGGAGAATGGCCCATTAGCAAACAAACAAACGTGCGCGCACATCAATCGACCGTCCCGTGGGTCAACGTCGACCCACGTTAGCTTCTCACCGCGCAGCCCGCGCTCACACCTCCACAAGACCTCAGTGCATCATCATCAGAATGTCACTTCCATACGTCTTTCACCAACATCTTCCTCAACCTTGCCAATGGCATCTCCTGGCCGCTCCACTACCGGTGCCGCCGCCGCGAACCTCCTCACCCTAAACGTCAGCGGTACAACCTTCACCGTACGACGCGAGGTCCTCGTACAGGTGGTACCCACCTGGGTGCCGTCGGCCGTCGCTCCGCCATCCCCCATCATATCCCCCTTAGAGGGCCCTCAAGCCGCACCCACCAGCCGTCGACAGCAGCCCTCAAGCCACCCCGCAGGCGAGGCCGTACTCCCCACCCTCAACCCCTGCCCCGGATCCGGATCCCCCTCTCTGTCCCTGGCTCCCACCATGCTGGGCGCCATGTTCAGTGGTCGCTGGGAAGGGGGCCTGCCGCGTGACGAGCTGAGGCGCCCCTTCCTGGAGCTGGAACCCACCTGCTTCAGGTCAGTGGCGGCTGGCAGGGCCGGGTTAAACCGGGGCGAGACAGGTCTGGTCTGATCAGGAGTTTCGGGGTCCTAATGTTTTTAGTGTTGGCTTTGAGGAATCGTCGAGTCGTTAATTTATAACTCACAATTACGTGTTCTCGGACCATAGATTTAATGCTATCTAGTCTCGCATTGTTACGCATTCTTTACAAATGCACTGCGAAGATGCTGAGTAGGAGCAAGAGTAAACTCCTGGCCCCGTACGGAAATTCCCCTCCCAACCCCCCCAACCCCGTGTGTGGTTTGTCTTTCCCCCCAACCCCCAATCCCCCCCCTTCCGTTTGTCTTCCCGCTTCCCGCCGGCAACGCCGTCGGCTGCAGGCAGCTGGTCAATTGGCTGGTGGCGCTGTACCGTGTGAGGGGCCTCCTGGGGCTGACAACACCACCACCGCCGTCACCGCCGTCACCACTGCAGCCAGCGATCAAGGGAGGTTGCCTTGCCACCGAAGAACGCAGTGCTGCTGGGGGGCAGCTGGAGCCCATCCCTGGAGGACCAGGACCAGGACCAGAGAGGCGAGAGGAACCGGCGGGGGATCGGCAGCCTGGGTGGAGGGACCTCCATGCGGGTGCTGCTGCGGCGGCGGCGGCTGTCAGTGGCGCCGACACAGCTGAGGGCCCGAGAGGCGAGGGCTGCAGGGGCGCCGGCAGTTTCGAGGAAACCGAGTGTACGGCGGAGTTGCTATTGCGCGCGCTGGCGGCCGCGGGTGTGCCGCCAGCGCCTCCGCCGCCCTCCGACGTCGGGCTGCTCACAACGCACTTGGAGATGCTGCGCTACCTGGGCATGCCGCTGCCGTACGTGCCGCCGCCGCCAGCACCGCCGCCGCCGCCACCGGCCGCGCCGCCGATGACGCGCTGTCTGGGCCCTGCTGTGTTCCATTTACTTGTGGATCGGGCCGTGTGGGTTCACGGGTGCAAGCGGCCTTCCCTGGAGAGGTGGAGCTCCAACGGAGAGAGGATGACCCACGGGTCGTTTTCATGGCTCAACGCCGACACGGCGACGGCAAGAGCAGCAGGAGCCGCAGGTATGACGGCAGTGTCCTTCAGGCTGACGGGTCATGAGGAGGTGGTTCGTGGGTCCGGCGGCGCATGGATCCTTGCGCCATTTCGTGTCGTACCGTATGATGGATCTGGAAGCGGCGGCGCGGCCGATTCCGGTGCAGGCAACGGCAGCGACCCCGTCGCACCTGTTGCAGCGGCGGCCACGGCGACGGCGGCGACTAGCAATTGCAGCAGCATGAATGGTGCTGCTGCAAGAGGATGCGGTGGCGGCGGCCTCAGCGGCGTTGAGGGCGCAGTGTACGGCAGCACCTGCTGGCGTTGCGGCGCACAACAGCCGGTGCCTATTGTGTGTAGTACAGGCGGTGGCGCCCGAGGCCAAGGTCTCATGGCGCGGACGGCAGTCTTGGACGCTGACCGTGCGGCGACGGCAGCGGCGGCGGCGGCGGCGGCGCAGCGGCCGCCGCTTTCATTGGCGCCGCTGGCGACGGCGGTGCCGCCAGCGGCGGCAGGACGATACTTGATCGTCAAGCTGCGGCTGGCGGAAGGCGCCGCTGTGGGCATCCTGCTGGGGCCCCCGGCTGAGGTCGCTGCCAGATGTGGCAAGTACGGCGTAACCTCGCCAGCGGAGCACGGCGCGTTCTTTGGCTGGGACAGCGCGGCGGATCTGCCCGCGGCGCCGCCGCCCATCATGTTGCCGTCGCCGTCACTTGCAGTGGCCGCGGCGTCGCCGCCGTTACCTGTCGCCACGAGCGCGTTTCGGAGCCCGCCCGCCACCCCGCTCCGTAGCTACGGCGGTGCCAGCGGCGGTAGCGGTAGCGGCGGCGGCGGCGCTGCGGAGGGTGCTATCGGCAGCGGGAACGGTGCCGGCGGTGGTATGGTCATTTCGTGTGATTCGCCTCTGCTCACCGCCGCCACCGCGGCAGTCCTCGGTGCTGACGGTTGCTGCTGCACTCAGTTGCGGTCACCAGCGACGGCGGTCGCTGTCGGCGCCGCCGCCATCCGGGGAAGGGCAACGCCGCTCGTGCTGACGGCAACGCCGCCACCCGGCGGCAGCCCGCCGCGGCTGCCGCCGCCAACCTCGCCATCACAACAGCCCGTACGGCCTTTCAACCCCGCGGCGGCGATCGAGCGAAGCTCGCCCTCATTCGTCCCGTCGGCCGTGACACCCCCATTGTACGACATACAGCGAGAGATCGTGCTGGGACTGGACGCCGCCACGTCACGGCTTTTGCTGTACGGCAGCGGCGGTCGCCATCGGTTGCTGAGCATGGCACTACCTGACGGCGCGGGGGAGGGGGCGGTTGCCGTGTTTCTTCGCAGTAGCGGCCAGGTAGCGGAGGTGATGGGGGAGGCGGCTGTGACGGCGGCGGATTACCGGGCCGTGCGGGTGCCGGCAGCGGGGGACGTAGCGGAGTAGGACAGACATACGTACGTACGCTGTGCATGATAATGATGGGGATAAGACCCGCACGAGGGATCAAAGGAACCTTTGTTGGCCTTCCCTCGCTTACTCCTTTTCGACCGGGGACATGGTTGTATAATTAAATGAACAAATGAATATTTAAATAAAAATAAATGAATAAATGATCGAATGAATGAATGAATGATTGAAGGAACCTCGTTAGTGTGCTGGCACCGCTCTATGAGGCTACATGCTGCGGGACGCCAACCCGCTTGCCGCCTCTGGCATCCGCCCTCAAACCGCTCCGCGGCCGGCAGCTCTTAACAGGAGCTGTAGCAGTAGCAGTAGTAATGGGCTCAGGGTAGCCGTTGTATCCGCAGGCCGCGCATTGCGGGGTGTGGGATTCGTACTTGGGATGTGTCTTTGGAGGGCGAGGGGAAAAGATGGCGTGGATTTTTTGCGCGACCTCAAGCGCGCGTAGCGGAACGTTACAGTCCTACACCTCATGTTGTACAACTTTCTGATGGGCGCGATATCATCAATCGTACGGCAGTCGGGCCGACAAGGAAAGATATACTTTTGAAGTGACAGTTCATCTTGTTGAAGAAAGGATTCCATCGTCCGCACACCCAACCCTCAGCCACACACACGCCCTTAGCAACCTGACCACGACACGACATCAGCGCTGCAGTATCTTCAGTATCATTCGGGGATTAACTCCAGGGCAGGGCAGGACAGGGCAGGCAGCCAAATTTGTTTTTTAACAAACAAACCAGAAATTGTTTCCATATAGCTTATTGTAAAGCTTTGTATGATTTTCACTTATCAGACCATCTATGGTCGCATTTGTAATCTCTCCGATGTACAAATTACGGAGGAAAAGGGCGAAAAGCAGCATGCACAAGAGCCCTGTAAAGCAAAGATGGGGCGAGTCCTGGCCCTTCAGTGCGCCCTTCTCAACATCATCATAGTAATTATAGTAATAAGCAAACGGAAACATCTCCAAATCAGTTCAACGTCCACAGGCAGTGACCAGCGCAAAACTCTTCCAATATGCTGCTGTCACCGTTAATGACTTCCACCGCAAAACCACCACAACTGCTACAGCGACAGCGGCATCAGCATCAGCAGCAGGAAGACAAAACACACGCTCACTGCGCGCCTTGACAAAAGTGGTACAGACAGACAGACATACACGTGCGCGCGCTCTGGGTCGCGTCCTTATCCGAAACATCCGAAAATGTTGGCCCTACCATGAAGCAAGCCACACTCTCCCTCCACACTCTACACACGCACACATACTGGTCCCTTATCTCTCCCCCCTTCTCTCTTCACTCGCACGTTGCTCTATCAGTACCCCTTCTCACCATACTTCTATCCGGGGTCCCAGGTAACTGCTTTTCATCTCGCCGCATTCAATCCCAACTAATCCTAACGGAAAACGGCAACCCCCTGCCGCCCACGATTACCGGTGCGCGACGTGAAATCCCTGAGAAGCCAAGCCAGGTAGGAGTTCTGCCCAGGCCCAGTTTCGGCGCCTTCACCTCCCCTCGCCTCCACCACTCTCGCATCCCGGCGCGCTATCCCTGCGAGCGCCGCATCCCCACATTCATCTCCTCCAACCCTACACACCCTGTACCAATCCCACACCCCCACTGGACTTCCCCTTCCCTCCCTCCTCTTTCTCTTCCGCCTGGGGGACCTCGGCCCACCGGCGAAAACCGGCACCCTCAATAACGCACGCACCCAGCCCCAACACCAGGTCCCCTCCCCCTCCCCCTCCCCCACCGTCACATTGCGACACCGTCACACTCCTTCAATCCGGCACCTGCCTTCCCTCATGGCCATCGCAGCGGCCAACACACCACTACCACTGCCACTGCCACCACCACCGCTAAACCACTTTGGTAAACAGCAGAGCGCAAAAAACCCAGCTCGTCCAAACACTAACTGCACGTCGTCAGCTCGGCCACCAAACCCCCTGAAACGCCTCTCATGTCACCCAGATCACCAGCCACGCACGGCGGACCGGCGGGGACCTCATACGAACGACGAACCCGCAGACGTGACGCCCCGTGCCATGTAGCCTCCCGTAGAGCCGTCCTTAATTTTTAATATGTGTTCGCTCCAAGTTGTCTGAACGAGCTCCACAGAAACGTCCCATGGGGGTCGGCTGCCGTGGGAAGGAGCGCAATATAGCCGGCAACAACATGCACCCTATCCAGTCCTAAGCTAATAACATGTTACGACGGTGCACACACGCGTGTGTGCACACACACACACACACACGCACGCGCGCGCGCGCACACACATGCAAAATTCCCACTGCCCCTCGAGATCCGAAGTGCGGCAGCGCCCGGACGGCAGCTGGGCGAGTGGGGTGGGTCGGGGTGGAGCAGAATTTCACTGCCTCCTAATTGCACGGCGGACGGCCGTCTTAGGTCCCCCCCCCGCAGCAGCAGCAGCAACAGCTCGCCACGTTTTGCGCGCGGTGTTGGCGGTTTGCCCGCGGCCAAGCAACTTCCTCCCCAATCATAAAGTCACACCTTACCACCATAGCAACACGTGGTGGACCTCGCGACCACGACTTTATTCCGGTGATGATGATCACAATCAACTAAAACGACGTGAGGAGGCAAATATAATATACTAGTGGTGAGGAAGGTGCTGGGGGGTGGACCGAAGGTGATGATAATGATAAGGTTATGTCTGTAAGCTTGGACAATATCTTGTATAACATAGTGGATGGGCTATAGCCACACTGCCAACACGGCGGCCACCCTGCGTCAAAAGCGAGACTTCAAAACGTGTTGACTTCGTCGGAGACAAAGTGTACTCGGGCCCCCGGTCAGGTGTCAGGTGAGGCCAGGGGTAGGATCGGTCGCCGCAGGCGGGATTATACTACATACATACAAACATGGCTGCATGGCTGCATGCATGGCCTAAACAAATGTGCAGGCGGATGGAATTTTGTGTGGGGGGGTGGGTGTGGGTGTAAAGGGGTGGCTGGATACGCGCGGACGCCGTGTGCACTGAACACCAACGGAAAACGGTACGTCCGAACGGTTGGGTGCTTGATGTTATTTATATGGACACAGATACTAATGTGGATGGTGATGTGGATGGTGATGTGGATGGTGATGTGGATGGTGATGTGGATATGTATATGCCCGTAAGCTCGAAATCCCCGATGCAAAAGTGTGTGAGGGTTTCTATATGGGAATGAAAGGGCGGGTCGGAGTTTGCCTAAGCGCCCTGGGCCCCCCCCCAAACGGGGGGGTTTCAGGTGCACCATTCCTGCAATTCCCCCCCCCGTACATCGTACTGCGCTCGTCGTCGTACTGGGTGCGGGGTGGGCACGAAGGGGCGGCGCACGGTGGGTGCAGTACAGGGAGTTGATGAGGGCGGCAGCGTTCGTGGGCCGCCAAGTAGTTCGTTGGAGTGGTTGGAGCACTCCATAAACTGTCAACTGCCCTCCGTTAACAATACAACATTAAACAGGCAAGTCTCCGGAAATGCCGGCTGCACAAGGGCTTTCGACTGAATACAGCATGATTGCAGTGCCGCTGTAACCATAACTAACCGTAACCGTAACCGCCACAGCGACCGATGTCTCAAAAGTGCTGCTATTAAAGCACTGTGCTATGGAGCCCCAACGCCGACGTTCTTGTTGTGAATATTGTTGTGCGATTCCGTTCATAAATGCACCCTTGTTTATTTGTACCTGTCGTACCTCCCTGCTCACTTACCAAACCAAATCCTGCACCCGCCTTCATTTCTCTCCCTGCTTTCTCCCCCTCTCCCTCTTTCCCCCTCCCCCTTCCCCTCTCTCTCTCTCCCCCCCTCTCCAGCAGCTCCAGCAGCTCCTGCAGCAATTTTCGCTACCAGTGCTGCTACCACCACTACTCCTCCCCGGCCGCGTCTCATCCCCACTTGCGCCAGGGGTCCCCCGGGAGGCTGATGTAGCGTGTGGGTTTGCCGCTGTCGCTGGTCCGTAGACGACTTCGCTGCGACGCAACCGCCTGTCGAGTCATCGCCGCCACCTCCGCCTCGCGAGACAGCTCATCCGCAACCTCCGTCGCCACCACCCGTAGACCCGCCAGCACCGCGTCACTGACTGGCGTCGTACGGGGCTTGGTGGCGGCGGTGGCGGCGCCGCCACCACTGGCGTGGACGCCGCTACCGCTGGCTGTGGCGACGCCGACGGGGCCCATCACCAAGACGCCGCCACCGTCATCCGTCAGCCTGCCACGGACACCCGTGACGCCTGTGTTGCCGGGCTTGAAGACATATTGTCGTACAGGTACGGCACTTGATGCCTTTTGATGCTGCTGCTGTTGCAGATGGCTAAGATGTCCTTGTGGTGGTGAGCGGCACAGCGACGACACGGCGGCGAAAGCAGCAGTAGTGGCTGTAGTGGCAGCGGCGGTTGCGCGACCTGCCCCGCTACCGCCGGGGTTGGTCGCCACTACGACGGGTGTCGATAATGACGCCCGCCGTTGACTAGACGGCGACGGTGGCGTCGGCGTGTTCGGCGTCGGCGGCTGCGCGGAGGGCCGCAACATCAGCGGCGGCGAAGACGACGATGGCGAGTGTGTCGGCGATAACGCCCCGGAAGGGGTTGCTAGATTGGCGAAGCCGGGGCTGGAGGTTCTGTTACGGCGGTAAGCTACCGCGGATGCTGTGGGGCCGGCTCCGGCACGGCTGGGCGAATGAGGCGGAGGCGAAGGGGGAGAGATGTGCATGACAAGGCGGAGCGAAGGCGTCGCCGTCGTCGTCGTCGCCGCTGCATTTGGGGTGACGCCGCCGCCGTCAACGCCTGACCACCCGTCAGCGGGTACCCAGCCTGCTTGCGTCAACTGTGGCAGCTGGCCGCCACTGGGGGTGCCGTCGTTGGCGACGGAGACGCGCGGCCGCGGGCGGCGAAGCCCGGCGATCAGTAGCCCTGGACAGTCCGGCGACGCCGACGGCGGCACGGGAACCAGGCCGCTGCAGCTGCCTCCGGCGGCGGTGCCGACGGGCGAGTTTACCGCCAGATGAAGACCCGGCGACTGCGGTATGCTGACGGCAGCAGACGGCGTTGACAAGAAGCGACTCCGGATGCCCGCTTCTCCCTCGCTCCCGTTGCCGCTGCTGCCGACGCCGCCGCCGGCGGCAGCGGACGGTTGCTTGTCTGGCGCTAGCCCGGCCCTGCCGCTTCCCGGGCGATCCGGTGGAGGCGAGGAAAGCTCACCCGCCGACAGGACAGGCACCAGCAGCGACCGCAGTACAGGCGGCGCCGACGTGGCTGCCTGGGGCGGCGCTGCCGCTGCCGATGGGGCAGGAGGCGACGGTCCGCCACCCGGGACCGTAGCGCTGTCGGCGGCGCCGTCGTCATTGTTGCCATCGTCAACATTGCCCTGCTCCCCCGACGATGATCCCCCCGGCTGCACCTGCGCCACCTGGAGGTGGTCAGCGCTGGACGGCTGCAGCACGGGCCGTAGCGCGCCGTCGCCGCCGTCAATGCCGCCACCGCTGCCGCCCATAGCATCGACCCATCCACTTACCAGCGGAACGGAGACCCACCCGGCAGGAGGCTCTGTATGTTCTCCTGTCGCCGCCGCCGCCGCCGTCGGAACCGCTGCCCCTGCCGCCCGTGCGCCGCAAGCGCTCTGCTGTGAAAGCGACCCCGCGCGAGTCGGTAGCAGCGCAGCCGCAGCGCCAGACGCCCCGCCTGCCGCCAGGGCTTGGCGCTCCAGGGAGATCGCGGCGGACGCGGAAGTCTCTTGGACGGGTCGGTGAAGAGACGCGGATTCCCCCGGCGGTGGAGGCGGAGGCTGCAGTTGCTGCTGCTGCAGCTGGGCAATGATGCTGTCCGGTGCTGCCGTACCAGCGGCGTTGCGCCTAGCGGTAGGCAAGCCGGCCCCGTCGAGGCCGCTGAAGCTGCCGCCGCACATATCGCCGCTCTCCGAGAAACGCCGCTGGAAGAGCGCGCCTCCCCCGCCGCTACCGCCATTTCCGCTGAAACTGCCTCTACCGCTATGGCTACTGCCGCCGCTGCCGTTGCCGCCAACGCCACGCACGATGACCTTAGTGCCGTACGGGACGGCGACAATACGGCCGGCGCCATCGGCGCCGAGGGCTGCGTGCTGCTCAGTGCTGCCGTTGCTGCTGCTGCTAGCACCGCCAGTACCGCTGACTTGCGGCTGGGTACTGCTACTGCTGCTGCTGCCGCTGCCAACGGTGCTGGTGCTGGCGGCGCTTGTGCTGCTACCACCGCGGTCCACCCCCGGAACCTTGTTACTGTTGTTGTTAGTGTTGTTAGTGTTGTTAGTGTTGTTAGTGTTGTTAGTGTTGTTAGTGTTGTTGGTCCAGGCTCTAAGAGCTCTATCGGCCGGTGTGAGGGCCGGGCGGCTAGGTGATGGCGGGGCACCCAGCATTTGGCGCCGCTGGTCAAAGTGCGCCACCACGGCAGCTGCGTCCTGCTCCGATAGCGGCATGTCCGAGGCGCTTCCAGCCTCCAGAGCCACCACTATAGGGTGACGGTCACCAACACCACCATCACGCGGGTAGGGGGAGGGAGGGGAGAGGGGGGAGGGGGGAGGGGAAAGAGGGGGAGGGGGGAGGGGAAAGAGGGGGAGGGGGGAGGGGAAAGACGTCACCAAGCGTTGCGGTGGGGAGCAGACGCCCGGTTGGATGAGCAAGCAGACGACGCGACTGACCCACGGGTCATCATTAAGCTCCCAGCAGCCACGCGAGTTACAGAGAAAGACGTGCGACGGGAAGTGAGCAGAGGCACCCGGAAATCTCAAACCCGGTCCCTATCCCACACCACTTCCCCAGCACCCCGCGCGGATTCCTGAACTGCCCCCACCGCAACACGGTGACGGGGTGTACTGTTCGGGCGTGTAAAACACTGTGTCGGGTCTCCCAAGGGGGGGAGGCTGGGAGGGTGGCAGGGAGGTAGGCGACATTTATCCGCCCCATCGTCCCCGGCAGGGGGGGTTACATCCCGCACTGCCGGTGCACTTCCGTCGTCACCTCCGTCGTCACCGCCGTAGCGCAACATGACGGCGATTAAGGCGCACGCGTGTTGCGGCGGTGTCAGCGTGATTTCGTTCCATGCGTGATTTCCCCTTGTGTAAGCCTTTTCAACACACTACCGTACACTACTGTCGTACATTGCCGTACTCACGCTGGATTCCCGACTCCCGTGCCCCCCTGCCCCGCTTGAGGTGCTCCTTGAGGGCCACCGGGGTCCGCAGCTCCGCAATGGTGCCGGGAGCCCCCAGCAGGACGCCCCCCGGCCCGACCCCGCCACCAGCCAGGGTGCTGCCGCGGCGGGCGGGCTGAGCGGAGGCGCTGCGCCGGTCACCACCCTGGAGCCCGCCGGGGCGTGGAGGGGCGTGGAGGGACGTGGAGGGGTTGGAGCCACATGCACAAGTCCAGGAGGCAGCGGGGGCGGAAGGGTGCGGTGAGAGGCATAGTGTGGTGTAAGGAAGGGGTGGTGAGGGTTCGTTCAGGGGCTGCCGCGTTTGAGTGAGTTGAAAAATCAAGGTTGAGGTCTAGGTGTGCGAAGAGCGGAGGTGTGGAGGGAGGGCAAAAGCTGCCCCTCCTAAGCTGCCTCGGCTTCGGATTCGTGTCCAACCTTTTGTCCTTACTTCCGCGTCTCGGGCGCCCCACTTGTCCACCGACTCGTCCATGCCTTGGACATCCATTTTAGATTTTGCGAGGTTGAAGGCGCGTTGCCATCGGGCCTGGTGGTAGGGACAGCAAGTGGCAAGTGGCGTTTGGGGCATACGCTGCTCTGGGCATGTGACAGCTATTTCGGTATGGAGGGTGGAGACAGACGAGTTCATGTAGCAAAAAATGATGCAAACTTTAGAGCCAACTTTAAAGTTCTCGAAGCGCACCTTCCTGTCCCAGCCGGAGGAGTCATGTGCAGTTTGGAAAGCCTTGCCCGCAGGCTTGGATGCCTTCTTGAAATCACTAGATGCGGACGTGACACTGTTTCTCAGCAAAGAGAGAGCGCCTTCTGTGGGATTGGAGGGAGGGTAGCACAATGTTTGGGCGAGGTTCGCCGCCACTGCCTGCTCCCTCGTCAGCGCTTCTTCGCATCGTTGTTACCTGTAAAACTGCCTTCACCTCCCCCCAATGTCTGTAAGCTGCCTCGCATGTTGTAAAGCTTCTGTTTATATTATAACAAACTCGTAGTCCTCTCGGCGAGGGGACCAGAAGAAATGGACGCTCCTTCAAGCTGCATTCCTGAAGCCAACCAGTATAATGCTAATTGCGATATGAGCCGATGTAAACAACGTACATGCCCTTTTAATCGCTTGTTCTATGTAGCCCGGGAAACAAAGATTGGTAAAAAGATTTGTCAGGGTAGCAGCATTGAAGCTTGCTGCATAGATCACCAAAGACCAAGCAAGATAGTCAAACAATTACAAGGCATCGAGTATGGTTTCTGATGCGTTGTAATTACCGACATGCCGCGTGTTGTTTCTAGCTGCAGGCAGTACAACCGTGCGCTCCGACACGGGCTGCGTACACGTACGGCTGCATTAGAATGTGGAGAGTGCGCATATATTTGTTCTCCGGATAGTCTGATAATTATCGCCACTTCTCCGGAAAAAAACTGCGGAGCTCAATGTACAACCTCCCCGTCCGTTATACATGCACCGGGCTAAGGATGTTCCATGCTGTCCCAAGCTGTGACCTTTATTGTTGTATGTATAGAACTGGTTTCTCTACATCATGAATGCGGATGGTGGTGGTAACACACGATCTATCTGAAAGCTTTCGCTGCTGCGAGGAAGCGCAGTTAAGAAAGATTCTATCTATGGCACCACCGATCGACAACTTAAGCATGCACAATATGACCACGGCATTTTATCGTCATGTTGGCCGCCCAGCTGCACAGCGGCTGCATCTTACAACAACGCGCGAAACCACAAACCACATGCTTTCCGCGCAGCCATGGAGATATGGAGTAGGGTACAAGTTGTTGTATAATGTGTGTGTGTGTGTGTGTGTGTGTGTGTGTGTGTGTGTGTGTGTGTGTGTGTGTGTGTGTGTGGTTACAGTGGGGTCCAGACCCACGAAGAGTAGAGCCAGCGGGCCAGCTGGCCGTGCATTACTGCACCTGAGGCGATCAGAGCAAACAAGACACCCACCCAGGCCAGGCAACGCAAGTGTCGCCTAGACAGCCAAAAGCAAACCCAAAGGATAGGGTCAGAAACCCACAACCACTGAGGCATTTGCCAATAGGCTCTCCAATTGCCGAAAGCCCTCAGAACCCCACCAGAAGGCCCACCAGCAGTTACTGACAGTAACCTGCACGTTGTCACCAGATGAGACCTGCGCCCCTAAAGTCCACGAAGTATAGAACATAATATAAAAGCAAAAACAGGCGATAGCTAATCACCCATCGGCTGCCGTTCCCGTGAACGTAACAACTTGTCTGACACAAATCGCAAAAAGGGGTGATGTGATAGCGATGGGCGAGCGTGCAGGAGTGCGGCAGAGCTTTCCTCGGCATCCTGGAAACGGCGGATCTTCCCCCATCGGAGATATTTAATACAAGCCGTACGAAGAATATCCAGCGTCATCATAGTCATATGGGATAGCCCTACGCCAAATGCTTTTTCGGTGCGTGTGTTCGTTCCTTCCCGCCTCCAGCCTGGCGGCCAGCGGCTCCGGTTGCGTCGCCCCCTCCAGCACTCGGCGCCACCTGCCGCACACCAGCAAGGCGGCCACCAGATCCCGACCGGACAGTGGTGCCAGGCACCGCTCCAGAACATCATCCTGCAGCATGGCGTGCAGCAGGGCCGGCGGTGCGGGCGCCAGGCGGCCCTCGGAGGGGCCCTGAGTCCAGCCCTTGGCCCAGGTCTGCGTGAAGGCGGGGGAGGGCGTGTAGCCTGGCAGCGAGCCGTCCTCAGCCGGCCGCACACAATCTAGCAGGAGGGCGCGGAGCAGCGGGGCAGTCCTGGCGGCGTGTTCATAATACATGCTGAGCGCCAGTAGGTCACCTTCATTGTCGAGCGGCCATGGTGTATGACCATGGGCAACAGCGTACTTCAGGGCGCGCCGGAATGCGGGCCTGCTGTGAAACTGTTCAACATCGTGGGTGCAGCCATCACCGTTTCCACCGCCGCTGCCTGGGAGACCGCAGTTGCTGGTCACGCTCCCTGAACGCGCCGCCGCCTGCTCCTGGCGCACTGCCCTCATCAGCGCCTCAAGCTCATCCCCTTCATTGGCCACCGCCGCAGGTAACCCCGCCTCGTCCTGCTCCAACTGGAGTGCCGCGAACTGCTCCGTGGGTAGGACCACTGCAGCCGGCAGCGCCCGCGTCCCTGCAGCCGTGCCAGTTGCTGATGCGGATTCCATGCCGCGTGGCCTGCCGCCATTTCCTGAGAACTTTGTTCCCTGAGACCTGCTTGCGCCTTGGGCTCGGTGCGGCGGCGGCGGCGGCTCCTGCCGCTGTGGTTGTCCCTGCTGCGGCCCCCGGTGTCGTTCCAGCAGCAGCAGCAGCTGATTTCTTGCGCGCTGGTAGCCGGCCTCCAGCGCCTCCAGTATCGCTGCCAGCTCCCTCTGAAAATGTACTGGCAGGCCCAGGAAGAGGGACTTACGGCTGGCCCCTTCGTTGCGAATAAGGTCCCACACAGAAAGCGGATGAAGCAGCTTCCCAGCTAGGCAGGCCCGCTTGTACGACAGCTGGACGAGCTTCTGCCGTGGAGTTCCCCCGTCCGCCGTGGCGATGATCCAGCCCTCGAAGGCCGGTGCCGGTGGCGGCGTGTCACCACTGTTGTACGTGGCCGTGCCCTGGTCGCCAGGCCTCGAACCGGGTAGATTTTTGAGCAGCTGGGAAAGCGGACCGGTGATGTACGGCACTGCTGTCGTGACCCGTAGCTCTGCCGCCAGTCGGGGCAGCTCTGCCAGGGGGACCTCAGCCCCCCGCGGGTCAGTGGCTCCCAGCAACACCAGGCCATCAAAGGTGTACGGCACTATGACCGTGTTGTTGCCGTACACCGCCTCTAGCATGTACGTCCAGCCTGGCTTGAAGGCAGCGGGGTCAGCATGGGTTTGCAGCCACTCCGCCGCCCAGAGAGCCTGTACAGATTGACGGGCAGCGAGCTGGTCGAGTTAGGTTTATATGCACTCCCGCACAGCTCCAGGCAGGTCTAGCAGTGATACGTTTACAAAGGCCGCGGTGCCATCACACAAGAAGGTGGTTAATGGATCCCTGTGTTAATGTTCCAACACCTCCAAAAGCCGTGGAGGGCATGTGCTCTTAAGATTTTGCCCTCCATGTAACACACAGAGGGGCTTTCTGCTGGGTTTCCTGCAAAGACTCCGTTACACGCTGAGCTCATCACTGCCCCACCGGGGCGGTAGTAAACAAAGCAGGGATGGCGAAGAGATATCGGACGTACCAAAAACCCTTACGTTCTAGGGGGACCAGGCCATGGATGACGCGATGGCTTCGGTTGACCAGCTGACGTTGGGGAGAGAGCTTCATCCACACCGTGTTTGGCTAACGTGGCTCAGAAATACGGCATACCAGTCTGGGTAGCGCAACTATTTCGGCATAGTTTTCTTTTCTTTTCTCGTCTTGAGGGTTTTAGGATAATAGCTCCTCTTTTGTGTTTTGTTTTATCCATTTTGTACAGGCCTAGACTCGCCCTTGGGCCTCCGGCTCGTTACACCTTTGGAGGGTAATGCAACTCCAGAGGTAACACACACACACACACACACACACATCACACACACATCACACACACATCACACACACATCACACACACATCACACACACATCACACACACATCACACACACATCACACACACATCACACACACATACACCCAATGCTCCCGCCACAACGCGCCGAGCGGACCTCTTACTTGCTCCGAATCCATTCGACGCCGAGTTGCCGTACGCAGCTGGCCGGCCCACTTAAATGCCAGAACCAGCGACCCATCCACCTTGACCTGCGCGACCATGGGCTCCTGGCCCCAGCCATCCAGCCCTGCCAGGTTATACCCGTACGGCAGTAACGTCCGTGCAGGCAACCGCAACCGCTCTCTATAGGCCCGCCGCCAGTAATCCGGCCGGGGCCTGGGATGAGCCTCCGTTACCCCGGCCTGGCTATGCACCGCAACCCCGCGCAAGTGCAGGGGCGGCACTTCAGAAAATTTGACGAAGGGAGCAGCCACCACTGTGTTCGAGGGGGGGTGCAGCACAAGTCCTCGGCACATGGCCTCCACGGAGCCCAGGACCGCACCCGACCTACCGAAAAGGAGGGGGAAAAGGGGAGGCGGCAGATGCCATAGTCTGCGAGGTTTAATGCAGGACCGAGAGATCAGTCTAAGACGATAGGAAAACTGGAAGGTAGGACGGAGGGAGCTTACAGCAACACCCTTCACGCGCCGCACATCACACAGGGGGTGTAACACCACCAGACAAAAAGCACTCGCACGAGATGCCAAGGAAGCGGAT